AAAAGAAAAAAGAAAAAAGTTGGTGGGGAAATTCCCTGACCCTTTCGTCACAGGGACACCGTGTTGTACTCGTACTCGAGTACGGTATCCCCCCAACAAACTGGAGGACCAGTGGAAGGGAAGCATGTGAGAACTGATGGAATGTTTAGTCATCTAAAAACTTTGAAAACTATAATCACATGGTCCCTGATCGAGAAACAATCTCAGTTTTAACGACTCGAGTATAAGTATGTGTCTAGTTCAAGGTGCAGAACAATGTTAACACCCAACTCAGCGCCTAAACAAAGATAAAACCGTGCCCAACCTAAAGAGCTGCGAAAGATATAAAAAACACCTGAATTATACTACACAGGGCAAGGTGGCCAGGGCCGAAAAAGGGATTAATGGGGGGATAAAGGGTAAGGGGAGAGGATAGGGTTTTAATACGCCTGCAGTTCCCCTCCCATACACGCACAACTTCTCCAGTGAGAAGAGCTCTAAAAGTGTACAGTAGTAGCAGAGAGAAAGAAAAAAGAGCCCACTCCATGCTTCTCACCCATGCTCTGGTAGCAATCGCAACGGTATATATAAGAAAGAAAGAACCCCTTTAGAAATGAGAATGTAAACCAACCCACCCCAAAGACCGCTTTGCAAGAAAGAAAAACCCCAATAACAGGACCGAAGGAGAGAAAGAGGCACAAGGAAAGCTATGCATTCACAAGACACGGAAAAGGCTATGCAATACAGTCCGCTCCTCCCTTTTTTGTTTTGATCGTCACTTCGTAGTATTCGACCTCCAAAGAATCAAGCACCAAGCCACCACGCTCAAGCCACTTTCAACCTTTTCGCAGCGACTAATGATCCAGGAAGCGGTTTTCTTCCGCGTCACCCGAATACTCGTCTTCTTCATCTTCGTCAAGGTTCTCGATAGCTTCTTTTATTAGATGACCAGCCTATCTAACCATCAATAACAGCAATAGGTCTGGAGGTGGCGATGAACTAACCTTTGGATCCAGGTTGAGGGCAATGGTGAAATGTTTAATGGCACTTTTCTTATCATGGAGTAACTTATGCAATCTCCCCAACAGGTAGTGGACATTCGCTTCATCTGGCGCGAGATCTTTTAATATCCGCAGCTCTTTAAGAGCAGGCTTTAAGGTTATATAAGGTTAGCCCATGATCCCTCAACCAGAACTCTCTCACCAGCGCCTATAGTGCCAGCGACTCAGGACTTACCTGGTAGCTCTTGAGCAACATCAAAGTTCGCGCCTTTTTGAATCTGGAGAGCGCGCTTGTAGGTGACATTTCACAGGCAATGTTATACTGATGCAATGCTCCCCTAAAGTCCTTGTTCTTTTCCATCACCATCCCAACACAACATACCAAAACAGCGTTCGTAGGGTTTATCTTCGATGCTGTCCGGAAATGTTTCTCCGCAGTGTCGAACTTACCCATCTTCTCGAATACTTTCCCCAGGCCATACCATGCGTTGTAATGCCTACTGTCGGCGGTAATCGCACTTCGATAGCTAGCAAGAGCCTTCTCGTACTCCTCATTGCTTACATGTTCATGCCCCTGAAGTGTAAAGGCATACGCCAATTTCGGATTAAGTTGCGTTGCTCTCTTGAAGCATTTCAGAGCTTGGTCATGATCCCGCTGTAAAGAAAAGCAGTTACCAAGTGCACACCAAGCCTCTGGCGAAAGTCGATCAAGCTCAACCAACTCATGTGCCAAGTAAGAAAGATCTACTTCCTTGCGCTGGTGCCAAAGAATAGTTGAAAATACTTCCATATCTCGGGTTCGAACGGGGCTCAAATGGCGTACTCTTAAGAAGCATTTCTCGGCCTATGAAGAAAACCTCGTTAGCCAGATATCTATATGATCATATAAGAGCTCTGCAAACCTCGATATAGTTAGCCATTTCGTAGTATGCTCTCCCAAGCTGGCTTTGGGCCCAGGGGGTATCCTTTTGACTCAAGGATAAAGAGTTTAGAGCATGGAGAGCTTCCTTGCATCGAAATCTGCTCAGACTGAAATACCCAGCACCCGCCTTTTTGAATAGGTCGAGTATAAACAGCTGTGCTTCCTGCTTCTTCATATCAATCTGATGCCCCGGCGCAAAGATTGGTTTTGATGCAGCATCAGACATCTATCCCACCAAAAACGGTTAGCAAACAGATATCCCACGGCGCTAGATTTGGAAGCGCCCACGTTGATATCTTCAATATTCTCTCGCTCTCTCTCCTTTTGCCGTTCTTTTGCTGCAGCAGAGGTTCCAGTTAGATGCAGACTCCGACTTCGACTGCCTACGGTCTTTGCTTTCTTGGCCTCCCGTTCCCGCTCCTTTGTTCCCAACCTCGTTTCCCTCTCTGTTCCAACACCCAGCTTGCTTGTAAATTTGCTTGTGAGTCTTGTACTCCTTCTAGCGGGCGCTTGAGGCCCTGACTCCTGAGAAGATGCCGCAGATCGTTTACCGTCATTACCGATCTCACGAGTGCTTCGGCTTGTAAGCTTCCTTGTAGTAATCTCAGCAGTCGTCGCCCGGGTCTTCCGAACTTGTGGCGGTTTGTCGGCAATATTAACGCCGTTCGCCCCTCCAAATAAATCATGAGAACTTGACCCTGTTGGTTGTGCTGTTGGGGTTTCCGCCTCCAAACTGCTACCCACACCTTCATTCAACCTGTTGAAAAACGATGGGTGATTGTTGTATGATAAATCCGAGCGGTCTCTACCGCTACCCCCGTTGGAGGAAAAAGGATCACTGGGTAAATTTTCAGACGAATTTCGCAAGCCATTCAGGCCCGATGACTCCTCTGCGATTGTGGCAGGTATATTTGAAAGGTGTGAAGGGTATGAAGGTATCTTGAGTGACTCGAGCATTTCCTGTGATTGCTTGAACACCGCATTGGGTCGTAGATTTACACCTAACCTATCGTTAGCACACAATCCTTCAAAGGGGCAACTTTTGTCTAAAATACCCGTGTCGCAAAGACCGGTAAAGGCTTCCCACGCAAACGGATTCAACTTAAGAGCTGCCACATAGGAATCCACCGACTTTTTCACATCCCCAGCATTGTTCCATAACCTGCCTAATAAAAATTGCACTGTTGCAGCGTCTGGTATCGAGCGCCTGTCTATATCTGAATGCTGATCTAAAATCGCGAGGGCAGAATGGTTAGATCCGACGACACCCAAGGCACCGGGACAAAAGAAACTCACTCCATGTGCTAGTCCCGCTCCAAAGCCGCCTGCAAGTTTCCAAGGCATTTATACCCTGGCTCTCTCTGCCATCTCCGAGCTTTAAGCAGCATTGCGCATAGATATATGCACAGCCCAGGTGTCGGACCCAACTCTTTGTCAACGACTCTGCCGCCAGATATTGACCATCCCGGTACAAACATAAGCCCAACAAATGAACCGAGTCGCCACCTTTCGGATCATAGGCATTTAATCTCTCGGCAGCAAACAGTGCTGTCGGTAGCATGTCGTTGTCTAAGGATTGCCACACCAATGAACGGAAGTGCGCGATAACATGAGGCTGGGCTATCGAGGGTGTCATTTTTTCGGCGTCTAACTTAGGGGTCCTGAAGTCAGCCGAAGGCTTGTGGGAAGGTAAAGGCGTAGTTGCAGGTGAGGATATTGAAAATGCTCTTCGAATGGTCCCCAAGCGAAAATGACCATGGGGTAATTTCGGCGGAGTTGAGGGAGGTGAATCAGTAGTGGTGTCCGAGGCGATAACGGGAGCGGAGGGCCGTCTAGGTGAAAGGAGAGGGGAAAGGAAGGTGGAGAATAAATCCAGGATTAAAGGAACGCCGGAGCGTGTTGTAGAGGAGTCGAGAAACTGCCGCAACACAAACTCAACGGAAGGGATACCAAATCCTATCCACCGCCTTCTTCAAGATTGGAGGGCTCTGATTCGAATCCAGGATGGCTGGGCTGCGGAGAGTGAGGAATGGCAGAATAAGAGGGAGGGATAGTGATGTTAGAGGGCTGACAGGCGGGTAGTCGCCTCACGAAGGTGTTTACGGGAGTTTGTTATGGAGTGGGATGCCCATGGTTAGGTCGTAGGCTGCGTAACATGAATTCAAGTTGAAACAATGCAATTGTATTATTGCCACCTTTTCGTTGCGATGGCAACGTTATCGAGCAACAGTACAGTAAGGCCTACAAGTAGAGTCCGGTAGACCTACCCGAGTACATTAACTTACGGGTAAAAGTTTCTCGACCCACCCAAGCTCACATCATACAACTCGAGTATGATATCGGGACGCTACCGTTAGGCTCCCTCGCTACTGGTGCGGTGTCGGCAACAATGGAATCTTGCTTGGCTACCGGCTGTACCTTTCTCCGTCGGCTACCGCCCAGATTTGCATTAGGCACCTCCACCCTAAGATCGCCGCAGAACCAGGCACAAAGCTATTATACACCTAACGAAACCCGTTGCCAAAGATCTCCTACCGTGTGCGATGGTACAGTACAAGATGTTGCCAGAAATTATCTTGAACACACCGAAACGCACAAGGTCAAGTTACCTACTGGTATTGACAGTTATGAATGTAGTCCATTCTACCGAATATAACACTACTGTGTGCTATATTGGTAAACTGAAAAATAGGGGTTCGAAAGTGGCATCCTGTATGGCGAATAAAAACTGGCTTTCAACTCTCTGCCCAGATAAATAAAAAGAATAACACGACAAACCTTACCGATCGAAACAATTCCGGCGTCCCGGCGCGAGGTCCAGTTACTCCAGTTTCTACGGCACTTTCTCCCGAGGTTCCCAGTATGTGCGCCATAACCAGGTGCATAGATGCTAACTTACCCAGGACCTAGCGGGTGGCTACCGAATGGTCAATCGTCCGGTGTTTGGCGAGACCGACCCCTGCCTCTACTGATGAGGATCAGTGAAGTAAAACCTATCATCAGCTTAGAGTAATTTCCTGCCCCTAAAAACGGACGTTGTGGCACCCTGAGCACCCTTGACCCAGACTGATTTTTCATCCATTTTTTTATTTTTGGTCTGGATGCGGAGTCCGGCACTTGGTCCATGTCACCATTGCAGGGGCTAGCCTCCGGGGGAAGGGAACGTACCAGTATCTCAGAATACGCATCTCGAGCCCCAGCAGTTTAAAGAGTATTATATCTCCACCCATTTTTGCCCACCACAATAGACTACGCACCTACCTACCATGTTATCATACTATGGAAATCCAACAGCTCGCCCCAATCCTAAATGGTTTCTAGTGTGGTAGGGCCCAGGGCGGAACAAGAAAGGCACGTATGTGATCTCAAACAATGCTGGGGTTCCGAAAGCGATGCCATGCCTACATCCAAGTTGTTTTTGTGCCATATTTCACAGTATCCATCTCTAAGAAACGCCCGTGGAAGTTTATGCGAGCTAGAAATCTGGTACAGATAGGAGAAGGATGGTGGATTATGTTCGGTATAATAAGGCGGAGCCAATGCTATCATGGCCTTGTGACCGAAGAGAACAAAGCCTTTTGAAGAAAGGTTCCCGTGACCGAGGAGGTGTCGCCATGTCTTGGAGGTATTTCCAAAAAAAGAGAAAAGATACAGGTATGATACAATACGACGCCTTAAAGAAACTCTGAGATCGGGGGGGTGGGAGGTGGTCGGAGGTGCGCTGACGGTTTGTTGACCTCCATCAATCGTGAAACTACCTTCACCCTTCACTTCTAAGACTTGGTATTCCTGGGCAGCCAGTTAGATTACTTCTGTGGGCTTGCCGTGTAAAAGCTTACTCAGGCAGCAAGATGTGCCTAGGGCATCCACTATCCACAGAGAAGAACGTCCAACGAACCCCCCACCCCTGAGCAACGGCAAATGGAACAACTGTCCTCTGTGAACGCCATACATATAGCCTGTGCAGGCTTGAATTATTTCTTTGGGATTGACTTCCTTAGCAATCGGGAGGTAAAGAATTCCTCAATCCCTCCGCAATTGCGGCTTGCGATTTTGTGTGAGCAACATCTGTGAGCACGACATCGTACTCGGACAGGTTAGGGCAATTTTCTGAGCAAAAGTCGTGGGCCGCGAACCCCGGCCTCTTTTTGACGCTTGGTGGTAGAACATGCCTCTGGGTTGATGTCGGAGGAGAAGCGTCGGGGGGGGGGGTCACGCAGTATAGCCTGGCGTGTTGCGGTGCCATTGCAATGGTGAAGTCCGGGTCTATGAACGGCCTTGAATACTCGCTGGGTGTTTAAGCATGTTTGTAATTATTGCTTGCTTACTTGGCTAAATATGAACCACCGAGAGCCGCTGGTGGAGCCGGGGCCTTTTTGGTTGCTTCTACCTATTATTGTATCGTGAACAATTCAGGGAAGGAACACTAACTGTGATCAACATTGATATGGGGTGTGCCATAGTGGGAGGTCACTTGGGCAGAGGTGATTTCGTGTGATTAGCAAGGATCGAAGCGATGGTCCGTGAACTTTTGACAGGCAAGGATTATCTAACCTTAGGTTACGAGCGGAGGAAGGATCGGTGCTAGATGAGCAATGCACGAGTGCCGCGAGTGCCGCGAGTGCTCGACTACGGTACTTTACCGTGCTGGAGGAATAGAAACGTGGTAAGACGTTAAAATCCCCTTTCTACAGTAAGGAAAGGGGTGGAGGGATCACCGCAAACTCAGCTCTCCCCTGAGACAAAAAAGGGAAAAGCACGTAGCACCTTGTGATACTAAGAGAAGCAGTTACAGCGCCCTAGCGCCTTTCTCTTGCAAATCGAGCACTTACCGCAGATAGTCACAGCAGAAGGGAAAAAGCGGGTACTAGTACAAAAGAGTAATAATTTGAGCAAAGAAAGAAACCGGGAAATTCTTTGATGGTCGATGATGCCCGAGGGTCCTGTGTTATGGTCACCCTCCTCCGTCTTCCGCCTGATGTGCCAAAAACGATCGCACATATGGAGTGCGGGGGGCCCATTCACGCCTAGGATTAAAAAGAGGAAATATTGATACTCGTGGAGGGAGGTACCGACCCGAATTTTTAAGAAAGAGGGGCTAACTAGCTGCTCGATAATTCCTAATTTGTTACTAGTCCTCTTATCTATCTGCATGCCCTTTAAGGCTGAGTTATCTAACATGTATAATAGTCCTTATGGGCGTTACTCTTGTGCGATGGGTATACGGAACCTCTAGTGCGGGGAGCAAAACCTGAGTCTAGGAGTCTCTTTATGGCCTCAGTTTACCACTTTGAGACGCCTTGGGGCATCATCTACTAATGGGTCGAGTGATGTTACATGATGATTCACAGGTCCAACACAGTGCCTTCATGGGATGAGAGGGATATAGTTGGTCTATCACTATCGGGTTTAGAACTTGTTGTATTTTTATATCACGGATGTGTTCGTACGATATCTACTGTCAAGAAGAAAAAGGGGAAATAGTACATAATTTGAACCACCTTGAGCTTTTATTCTTTATTCCTGTAGGTGTACAGTACTCCTTAACACATTCCTATCTTTGGCAATTCTCCAGACTACCACAACCATCTCTTATTTTCTAGTAACTACAAGAACTTCTACACCACCCTGCTCAATTTACCGCTCTCATAGGAAATTTTCTACAGCATGGCGTAATCTAACGCCATCATCGTCACCGCCACCGTCATCACCATCGTCATCTTCACCATGTCTTGCCACAAGGTCTACTATGAAGCGGACCATACACGGGCGAAAGCTACAATTCTCTCAAACCTCCATCGGTTCTTTCTCACAACACCGAATTACTCCAAATTTCGGACTAGCCAGATTTTCGATATCATTGCCGACAGGGTCTACATTCCTACGCGCACAGAGCTGGTCAATGCATTCTACGAATTAATCGACGCAGGAATGGTGCCAGAGCTCAAGGGTATTCGAGTGGGTGAGAAGAGGAGAAAAAAGCGTGAGGTCTTGGAGGAGAGAATGAGGGTTAGGCGAGAGGAGAGAGAAAATAGAGCATACCCGGGGGTTCTCTGGAGGAGTGAGTGGCCTAAGAAGTCTTTAGGGGAGATGAGAAAGGCGTGGCTCAAGAATACCCAGAAGAGAGCAGTCAAGAACCGGGGTGGTGGTGGGAGGGAGAGCCGCAGAGCTGGTGTCGAAGGCGGATCGCGGTCTCCGCCGTTACCCAGAGCGGGAGCTAGCTCCAAGAAGAGATGTCCAATTATTCCGGGGGATAGCGGAACTAAACCACATTGTATCCAGCCGTCTCAGACACCGCCGGCCTCCGGTTGCGTGCCCCCGGAGACCGCGCCTCAAGGTTCCACTCATCTGGGCAATAAGCCCCGACATCGTACGACGGTTTCGTATAAAGACCAAAGGGATCTCCTGGAGGCGATGCACAAACTATGCCTCCACTCTTCGTTCGAATTCTGCAAATTTCGTCTGCGTTTAGACCTCACCCGAAATATCGGCGATCCGACCCCCTTTCAACTTGAAACTCTCATTAAGGCTATCGTGACTGCGTGGAATACGGGAAAATTCGATGGCACTTGTATCGACGAGGACGTCGGCTTTGGCTCTGGAAATGCGTTTTGGAGAGCAGGTTGGGTGGCTGTTGCAAGATTGTATAAGTGGCCAATGACGAATCGGCGGTTGCTGAGCATCTTACAGACGGGGGAAGAGTTTCTGGATGCGCTATTAGATGAGAGAAGAGTTGATATTGCGGGTGTGCTTTACGAAAAGGCAGAGACAATGATGAGATGTGCATCAGGGGAGGGCTCTGTGAAGGAGACCGGGTCGGAGGTACGGCCCGGAGCAGAAGCAAAGATGGAGGTAGACCCGGAGCCGGTGTCAGAGAGGGAGACCGATAACCAAGCACGGAGTGATGAGGCTGAGGAGCTGGGTCGTGCAGTGCGGATTGATATGGATGTTGAACTCACAGCCGCGAATAGCTATGGTAGCGATACTGAAAGCGAAGGGATTAGCTTGGTTGGATACGAAGGGTGATGTGATATACCATTTGTTCTTCACGTCAACAGCCAAGATATCTAATCTCATTTGAACTATTAGGTGTCTCGTTGAGTGGGCATAACTGCCGAGTGTTTTGTCGGGCTTGGGTTAGAGATTGGGTATTTAAGTTCCTGCACATGTACTAGCCGTTATTTAAAGACTCCAGAACGTGAATTGCATGTCTTTGGGCCCAGGCTAAGGTTGTTTCCGCAAAATCTGGGGCTCGTGAAGCGATCAATTAAACCACAACTGAATCACTTATTTTCTCCCCGTTCCGGAGGCCTTAAAAAAAGACCAGTATTCTATCACATGGATCACTCAAAGTTCTGCCTCAACGAGAATAGAATTCGGGACTCCCATAATCGCTAATCATCTCAAATAATGTCGATCGGGTATAAGCTCCGAGAACGCCATGAACCGTCAATGAATCGTCAGACCTTACTCAGAACTTCTCAGAGGTACTTCTTGGCAGCCTGCTTAACCTTTCCATCAAACACCCCGCTAGTGATCCTCATATCGACCTCGTAGAATGGGTTCATGAGCGTTTTTGTGTAAAGGTCATACACATCTGTGAAGAACTGACGAATTGCATCGTCTGCTTTTTGATCGTGAAGTAATAAAAATTTGATATCTACGTCTTTGTCAACTCTACACTCCAGCCGGCATTGATAAAATATGGAGTTATACTTCCGGCGGTCAGAAAACAGCTGACTTGAAGATTGTTGAACTTATCAACACATTTCATGTACCTAATAACATTAGCCGCAGGTCATGGAAGATAAGATATGAAGTACAACATTGTGGGAGTAGCCCACTGGACTTCTTCAACTATGTCAAGGCTTGAGTGGACGATGAACTGGTTCATAGAACGCTGCTCTTCGCGGAACTAAGGCGGCATTAACAACCAGGTCAAAGACGATGGTGACAATACGGGAGGAGGGGTACTCGAGCTACGCCATCACCACCTTGCTTTGAGGTCCCGAATTCGGCTTCATAAATCGGGTTATCTTTTGTGCCGACAATAGCAAAATAGAAGCTCATTTCGATATCCTTAAGGGTTATGCGCAGTGCCGGGGGAGAAAATCGATGAGATCGACTAGTTTCCAGGCTCGTTAGGACGCATTTAAAACATCAAAGCGGCGCTGGCATTCAATGGTTGTTGTATGATAGGGGTTCTGACGGTTTCATACCTTGTCTTGCAATCTTGAGGTGTTTGCTGAGATATGAAGCTCTAGAAACAAGTAGTCTCGATTCCATGTTGCTCCCCCTGTCCTGTCGAAGGTTCAAGGATCTGATAAGATCATGACTAATCCGCCAGATAAAGCAATTGGCCCTCTGGTATGATACTTACAATCATCCCACTGTTTCCCGAGACCCTCAATCTGTCAATCTCCACTTCAATCAACTCAACCGCATACAAAAAGTACCAGATATGCCGTATGCACTCCCTACCTCGCCGTATTTACCTGCGCTGGTGTTACGGAAAACTTGGGACTAAAGTGATCGCAGTGGCTTTGTTTACCGCGTGAATCGGGTCCCTCACTATCAGCGCCTCTTCCAAAGGAACGATGGCGTGAGGCAATGGTACAAGGTTTGTTTTCTCCTCTAGGCCCTATTCGCTTGCTTTCCGCAGTTATTGAACCTTCTTGACAGACTCCACGATCCAAGATGATGCTCTATCCATACTTCGTTATGCTCGGCATAGGCTTTTCGGGCTCTTTCTACGGAATGTGCAGACTGGTGATGGTTGGCCACCCCCCGCGACAACGGCTATGAAGGAAACTGACATGGATTGGCTACTTTCTAGGGCAAGAAGTCATACTTTTAAACCCGATTACGTTGTTATTCGCTATCCCGATGCACCGATCAATTCCTTTTTTTTCTCGTGGGATGCGACGAGACCGAATGTGTAGTGGGGGTTTTGAGGTGGGTAGGGGTGATTTCGGTGGGACAGAACGGTTTTGTGCATAGCAAATATGAATAGAAGCGAGGTTAAAAATTTCGCTTTAGATGTTGATACCGAACTAAGTACTCTTGTAGATATAATTTAGTACTCTGGGAGGATGTTTGTATGATAGGACTAGACATACTGCGCCCGGGGTGGCACTTTAATTTGCTGTGGTAAAGTGGTTCCCATTTTTGTTCTTGGAGGATGGAAAAAAGTGAGGCGGCTCCTCCCCTTTCCCACTCTTTGCGGGTGGAGCCCGACCTTCCCCGGAGGGTGGAAGGCACAACCGGGATGGTTCAAGAAACCCGAGAAGTGGCCTCTCCTGTCTTCCCGTTTCTCCCCAGCTTCCTCCCTTCCCCGTCTCCTTGACGGCTCAACCACCAACACCTTCTATTTTTCTCCATCCTCTTCTCTTTGGTTGCGGTTCGCCGATTTGAAACTATGGCGCAAAAATACCTTGGAAAGATCCTGGGTGACGAGACAAAGAAGACTGAATCAAGCACTGCCTCTGATGACGGTGCGTTTCATCAATTTGACAACTATCCCCTTTAGCACTTTCAATATGCCAATCCGATGGTACCTGGTCTCCGTGGGCTAATTCCAGTTTCTCAGACTTCGCTGATTTCGCGACCCCATCTCCTGCGACTCTATCCCCGGCGCCAGAGTTTGCTGCTGCCTCGCCTTTGACACCCATCAGCGCCCCCTCGACTCCCACTGGTGCTCCGATTAGGTTTGATGGTCCTTGGTACGCTCTCTGGGAGCGTCACTCGCTTGACGAATTCCAGTTCGAGGGTTACATTCTTCTCCTTCTCTTCGGTATACTCGGTTGGCATTTCTGGGGAACCCGCCGAAATCGCGCCATCGCCAATAAGTTCTTCAGCAGCATGAGTCCTGTCCTAAGTCAGGAGTTTTCATATGTTGGTTTTGATCCTTATGGTCGAGCAAATACCGAACAACCTGTTACTGCCGATTACGCCTTGAAAGAAAACCATCCTCTCGAGTTTGTCGCCTATGCTTCTGGAAGACAAAATGTTGCGTTTATGCACACCACCATCAAGCTTCAACGTAGGTCGAATCCAATCATTTGGTTCGGAGAGCACCTTTTCGCGTTCTTCTTTGAAAGCGTGCCAACCCCTACCGATAATGCTACTATCACGATTTCCCCTTTCGATGGTCAAGATGCTGGAAAGGGTGGTCCGAACTCTAAGTATGATAACTTTGTCTGGGCCTTGGTTAATAAGAATCAAATGAAGAGGTGGAGAGAGGATCGTTATGACCTCTCACTTACCAGGACCTCCGATTGGGATGGGCTCCCGAACTGGTTAGCTGTTATGAGTGAGAACAAGGAGATCGGAGACACCGTCCTGACGAAGGAATTGAAGGAGGCCGTTGTAGATTGCCCGGATATTCTTGAATACTTGATTGTTAGCGATCAGCCTATCGATAAGCCCACCACGTACGTTACTTCTCTCCTGTGTGGCGACCTCTGCTAATATCTTCTAGCCCTGCCGAAACAGTTCCAAAAAAACGCGTTACTCTCCAGGTCAATATCCCATCAGATATGGCTCCCACCGCTTTGCCCAAACTCCTCCAGGCATTCATTCGCTTGGTTGATCATCTCGCAGCAGTTGCTCACTTCCGCCCTGAGGTTCTCCGAAAGGTTAAGGCCGTTCGCGAAGAAGAGGCTAAGAAACTCCAGAAGCAGGTCGATGAGGAAAAGGCCGAAGAGCGGCAGCTTAAGAGAGACGAGGATAAAAAACTCGAAAGAGAGAAGAAGCTTCGTGGAATGAGTGCCGAGGAACAGAAAAAGTTCCTTGAAAGAGAGCGGGAGAAGGAAACCCGCAAGGCGATGAAGAAGCAGACTAAGAAATAGTCTTGGGCTTTAGTTTTTCGACTTTTTTACTTGCTCGTTTTTGTTGTTCATCTGGCGTAATGTAAAAAAAAGAGTCCGGGGCAATAGGTTTTCGAGGAAATGGTGTGAGGGGTGATGGAATGGACACATGTTGCATGAATGGGCACCTGGGCATTGGACTTTGAATTCTATATGGTGCGTTCATGTGCACAGATAATTTGTCGTACATTTGTTCAATCACTGTGTTTAGGTGCTTGTTGTCTATAACAAGTAGGCCAGGTTTGGCTAGGAAAAGGGGGCGTTGGGAACACTCGAACATGGAGATATTCCGAAGGTTAAAAATAATATTGAGTACCTATTTCGCTATCGGATCCGGTGATCTTCGAATCTAAACCTGTTATGATGACACCAGTGCAGGACCATAACTAGACACCCTGGAAATTATGGATGCTCCCTGTGACAGGTCTCGGACCACTCCTGTTATCTAACTTGACGCCAAATTCACCTGATATCACTCGATGATTTCCTTCAATCGCGCAATCCCTAGGCAAAGAGTACCAGTACGGCATGTAAGAGCCGCTGATGCCCAAAAGTTATATCGGTCAACCCCAAATGCGTTACACACGCCCTTCACAAGCATATATTCGAAGAAAGAAAGAAAGAAAGAAAAAAAGGAAATGGTGTTATGCATGTAGGGAATTAAAGAAAGAGCCCATCCAACGTGCAGTTATGAGCGCCGCTCCTCGATGCAAAAGCGCACCGACAGGCTAGATCCCGGCCGATCGATGATTTCACTAGTTCGTCCCGTGAGGGGGGGGGGAGGGGTGAGGGAACTGGCAAGGCAGCCTTGACAAGAAAAGCTCCGAATATGATAAAGGGACGTTTCTTAACGGGTCTCCCTCCCTCTCTCACATACCCGCCCGATCACGACGACAGTATCGTACCCATCGCAGGTTATTCAGTTAGTCCGTCAGTTCTATGGACAGAACGTGAGCTGTCATACCTGCCAATGGGCATCTATCTATCCATCCGGGTGAGATACGAAACGTGAGAAGGATGGAATGAGCGTCACGAGATATAATAGAAGCTGTTTGTGGAAAGCTATTCGAAGCGATCCCTCCCCGGTAAGGTGCCTTATCTGTCCGGAGGGAATGGGTTCCTCGTCCCAGTTATCAGGTCCCGTCCGTGTCATAAATACTCTTGGGATCTACGTATGATAAAAAAAAAAAGAAAAAGGGGATTGAGGAGTCGGAAGCCTCGGGGGGGGTTAGTGTTTTCGCCCGCACGGTATAAGGTCAACTCACGATGGGGGATTACGAAAGAGTTTTTGCGGTATTATATGATGGTGCTCGGGGCTGTACTGTACTGTGCGCTTACGATCTTTGTTTCCTTCTAGTCCTTAGTAAATTCCTGGGGTTCCCAGCACTAAGGAAGGTTGTATGCAATAAGGTAGGATATCCTGAGGAAATATCTCATTCCCCCCCCCCCGTGCCTCACGCAAGGGGTTCTTTTTTGCGGCGGCGGCGGCGGAAGAGTTGTATGGCTTTGGCATTACTGCGGAGGGTATAGATCTCATGAGGGTGTTGGCCCGGCTTGTAATCTGTTGGAGGATTGAGGCCCAGTGTTTTGGGGGAGCTTGGAGAATTGGGGCGGGGCGGGGGGGTATGGTATCATACCGGTATCATGATTCAGGTTTGGTGCGTTACGGGTTGAGACTTGAAGTGAGAGATAATGTTGGGGCTATGTAGAAGAGGCCGTATGGGGTTTGCATTTTGGGGGTATCGCGCTGGTGTTCGTCACTCGCGGGTAACATTACTCGCGATGTATGATACACAGAAGGAAAAGCATGAGTTAATCATTACCCAAAGCCCGCTCCACCCGGAACAGTATTCTTTTTTTTTTCCTGCATTCAATCCTGATTCTGAACGCAGTATGATGATGCCAATTTCTATCTACCGCAGTGATCTATGTACTGTACTATACAAACCCCATCAGATCCTCACCCTCTGCCTTCCCTTCCAGGAATATTTGTAGTAAAGGCCAACTAGGCAGGTATACATCACCAAAATGCCCGTCTGGGCCGGCGCGAATATCATACCACGAAGCACCAAGGAGAAGCAAACGACAAGAAACGAAACCGGCGTCCACATGGGTGGCCTATAAGCCCTGCTCAGATCTGGCTGAGTATAGCGCAGATAGATCAGACCGGATATCGTGAAGATATAGGATGTGTATTCGGTTATTCCGATGAATGTTACAAGGGAACCAAAGTTTCCGAGGATGATGTAGGTGCAGGTTAGGAGGGAGTTTAGGATCATCGCTCGACTAGGGGAAATTTGTCAGTTTGATGAGACTAGCTAATGGCCAGGTGGGTATATATAGGATATGGCTCACAGAGGAGTTCTCCAGGTAGTACTTGTTGGGGGTTTGTGAAGGGATTCGGGAGGACTGTCGATAGCGCCATACGTGGGGGTTGCGGATGTGCTCTCTTCTGATAAACCTCGCCAGCCTATGGCTCCCCAGAACCTTGGAATATGGCCTTTGTTTGCGGCGGATGCTGTAAGTCTGCCGGTCGCAAATATGCTGGCGTTCAGCGACCCGGCGCAGGCTATGGATACCAGGACGGCGAACATCAAACCCCCGACGGTACCCAACGTCTTCAGTCCTACTGCCTGTGAATTGTTAGATGGATGGTATTGTTGTCTTTGAGACCAGGTCAGAGCATACCACTGCAATGGTGTCTGTTTCGCCAACGATAGCCCACGGAAGGATGATATAGTAGCACAGATTTGTCAGAATAAAGCAACCTATTACAGTTGGCAAAGCTAGATTAATCGCTCTTGGTAAATCTCTCGCCGTATTGCGCATTTCCCCAGCTACAAAGTTGGCCTATTACGCGGGGGTTAAAATTCTCCTCCGGTTTAGTTTTGTGAAGGGCAGCTCACGTTATCCCAACCACCATATCCCCAAGTACCGGCCCACAATGCAGCGGAATAATAACCCATGGATTCCCATGCTGTCAAGGAAGCCCAATCAACGTGGTGGCCGTCTGCTTCGGTAGGTCGATTCGCAAACCAATCTCGAGTCTTCCAATCCAGACTAGGTCCAGTTCCCCGGGCATTCAATCCAGTAAACATGACAAAAATAGTGAGTATTGCAATGATTCCCACCGTCATAATCTTTATCGAAGAGAATATCCCATTGAGATTGGACGAAGTCTTGGTACTGATGGAATTGAACAAAGTGAGAGAGGCCAACGCGGCAATGGCCAATGACTTGTCCAACCAGAAAGTGTTTTCCCCGGCGCCAAAGATCGCACGGGTCCAGTATTCGGCGAAAATGAGACTAAGAATCGCCATGGAACATGGCTTCACTGCAGCGATCCAAGTGAAAGACGCTAGCAGCGCCGCGAAATCCCCGTAGACGTATTGGAGATATTCTTGCATCCCGCCGTTGACCGGTATTGCTGCTCCAAGTTCTGCAAAGCATGTCGCACCGCCCCACGCAAGCAGACCGGCACCCGCCCATACAAGAACGGCAGCGCCCGGGGACGCTGTATTATTGTTTATCTGTGATGGGGAAGAGAACAGTCCCGATCCTATCTGGAAGCTCACCAGCAACGAGTAACCATCGAAGAAGGTAAGTTTGTGAGAATCCTCTGCCGCCAATGGCATTCCAACGATTGACGCTACATCTAAAGAGGCCTCCTCATCGCTCCCAGAGAGAAGGCTTGTTTGTGCGTTGAGGTTCTCGTCGCCGGTGTAAGATTTCTTCGGTGTCCCTGTTTCCGTCATGTTTGCCAAATTAGATAGCAAATGGGGCTCTCTCTGGGCGGAAAATTCTGAAAAAAAAAAACCTATTAGCTTCGGCCGGGCACAGAATAAGACTTCCCTATCTTACCTTAAAAAGAAAAATGATAATAAGCTACCCCACAACTGCACTAGACCCCGAATAGTTCTGTCGCATAGGGTGTACCGGTTGTCTTTATATCCCGCCGGTGCAGTGCACGTCTGGAATATGGAGAAAACTGGAACACTCGTGTTGCACCCACTTATTTTTTTTTCCCTCCCCCTTTCGCCACGGATGACCGAGAAATCTGTTCAGTGTATCATTCCTTTTTTCCCTTTTCCCTTTTGCTGTCGATCATCCTGCCCATGTTCGATACCTACCAGTAGTATATGCATCATATCGAGGGGTTTTCACATTATATAAACAGTGGCTGTGTGATAGAGTCAGTCGCACCTGGATAATTCATACCCTACCCGCGTGGTTGCATCCGTTCCACCTCACCCAATGTGACCAGGAAAGAAGACTATTTTTTCACCACAATCCCAAGAATTTGGGAAATTAATCCGAGGAGCACATCCGCACCGGGCTCGCCATCACCGGTCTCGGATGTGCTGTACGCTATTGACAAATACTTTCTCCAACAATATTTGTACGAGTACTCGGGTCGTTGCCCGCAGGAAGGTTGTTGATAGAATCAGTGGTGCCTGTTGTGTCTTACCGAGTGAGAATTTATGCCACCTGATGTTCCATTGAAAGGCGCGTGGCCCTGAGGCTAAGCCCTACCAACCCTGTCATTCCGAGCTCCGAATTAGTGCCCGTATTTTTTTTCGCTGCAACACGCACATGACTTGTATGGCGTGCTTCAGAAAAAAAAAAGATATGGCGTTTTTTATTCTTTCAAAAAGGAACGGAACGCAACGAGTGGTCTCGCCCTTCCTCCTCCTAACCTCAGGCTTTGATAAAAAAAAAAGGTGGGGTTATGCGGGAAAAGTAACACAAATTCTGACAGGGGCATGACATGGATCACCCACTTACTCCCTGCCGGCAGAAGCCCGATTCCCAGCGGAAGTCTTTCTGTCGGTGCCCCTGTCATAATATTAAAGTTGGATGATCCCACTTCTTTTTCTGCAGCGGTTCAAGGGACCGAGGCTGATGTATATGTCCCCCAGAATAAGAAACGATCAACTCGTTGCATATATCGCTCGGGCAAATCTACCGTGTCTGGGCTCTGCAGTTCTTGTGATATCAGTATAGGCCTTTGCGTTCAAGGGATGGCGCTCCGGCTCAACCATAGAGGAAGGCTTTCGTGGTTGAAATTTTCTGATAACTGCTGTCATCCTAAGGGTGAGAGCTCGGCTGGTATTAGTTTCTCGTGTTCACTCCTTTTTCTGCCCTAGAATGAGTTCCTTTACTCTAATCCATTTAAGCTCGAAATACGTCACCATCAGTCCTGCCGGGGGGAGATAAAAACATTTATCACTTGCCTTATCGAGTGAGACGCCATGATTAAGTTTAGGTTGCTTCTCGCCAGAGTTGGGAGTTGGGCACTATTAATAGCCCAGAAGGGCTCATGAGGGCTCGGCGTCCTGGAACGATACTATACGAGTGCTATACTCGTATGTCGGAGTATTAGTCTAGAGGGGGGGGGATAACCCGTGAACTCCGTCGTATCGGCCAAGTTATCATGGGTGTCCCTTCTGGCAAACTAGTGATCACAGGTCTTCCCCTTCGGCGGTTCATAGGATACGCTTGACTGCATATCAGAAATAAACATTTATTGGGAACGTTCCCCGAGTGATCCTACCACACCAGGCACCCGAACAGGTTCCCAAAGCAAACCAGGCTCCCACGGTGGGTCCACCACTCGGCTGGGATTTTCGTGAAAAGGGTTTTCTATTTGCCCGTGGAACTATCCCCTCCTCTACACAAACCCCAACCGCACAACCCCCCCTCACTCCCCTCTAGCAACCGAAATCTGCGCCAAAGATATACCCTGTTTCTCGAAGACTTTCGCTAAGTGGCCGTGATTTCATGACGTTCATGAAAACGATTGATACCATTCAACAAAAAGCCTGGATCTGGCCGATTTTCGGGTTTGTGCGATGGCGGTGTTTTCCATGAATGCCCCAAAATTACCCATAATGGGGTGACGTTTGCGAACACAACCGCTATTGCATAACCCACCGCTCAAGTCCGAGTTAGTATGCTAAAATTTGGCAGTATGCAATAGCAGTCGTGTTCACAAACATCAACCCACCATGAATATGAGTAGATTGCACAGGACTGACTAAAAGGGTGATTGGTCTACCCCCCGCTTCAGAAGGCCACTCAGAGAGCACTGCTGATACGTCGAACAAACCGATGCAAGACTTTAGAAACTTAAAAATTCCAGGATAACTTTTTGGGAGGACTATCCCAATACGGCATCACAACTGAACTCCCACTCGCATTGCTAATTCAGCTATCGGCTTGCCTTTTCAGGGTTGGTATGCACTTCAAATTTCCTGCGCATAAATATTTGACTTGCTAAGCGCTACCGGCGCTGCATGTCTTGATATATCATAAAGAGGATCCTTATGCTATCATGATTCCAAATTTTGGGGTAAGGGCCAATTGGCCAAACCACACAGCTGAGCATTTACTCATGTTCCAAAGTTTCGGCTGGTCTTATCGATCACATCAAAATGCATGGAACATTTGATAGCGGTTGACGCTGTGAGATCCAATTGGGTGGCGATTGAGGGGCTACTCAGAATGTTACCGCACACAGTTATCCGGACAGATTTGATATTGGGAATACTACGACGGATTGTAAATCAGGTCAAACTTACGCACTGGTGTTTCGTATAATTGCACCAGAGTAGTTGCCACGTCCTCTACTCGTGCACACCGCTTCTCATACTGAAACACCTGTCTTAATACCTTTTACAGGGAAACACTGGCTTGAAACTATTGCTAGGGGGGAGGATGCGTTTGAAGCGCCTCAGAATTCCAGAGCCATCTCGACAGGAGAGCGCGAACCAGGAGCGAAAAATACCCTATCCAGTTAATTATCTAAAGTCGTTTTGGCGGCCGCTGATCCTGCTGACTCTGTCATCTTTCTTCGGTGAAACCGGCGGGCCCACGCGGATGTTTGTCTGATCGAGGGAAAAACCTCTCCCAACCACCCAGAATCGGGGCTTTTGTCTCAAACCGTGATCCAGGGCCATTCAGAGAGAGAAAGAAGGAAAGTTATGCCGACCCGCTTGCTTCCCTCGAAACGACACTGTATCTTTCACACTAGAGGACAATCCCAGGCATGTATCTACTCGAGTAGTGCTTGGTGGCCAGAGAGGGGGATGTGAAACCTCCATCCTTCTGCGGCCAAACACATTGGTATTCTTTGTGACTAGGTTAGGTTCTGGGCTACACTTTCCTAGTAGTGACGACTTCTCACCGATTCATTGTTTTTGGCCATAGGCGGGTGAAGGTTTCGTATCCCGTCCGCTTTGAGGCGGTCTCGAGCCGGGTGGGTACGGTACTGACTGGAGCGAGTTATGGTGCGGTAAACAAGCGTCGTGTCGAGAGGTTATTATGCCTCGGTGTGCAGCCATATAGCAATCCCAGCTCCTGAACTCTCTTATTTTATTTTGTCCTTGCTCGGATATTTGAGCCTTAACGACCTTTTAACATAATTATCATACCATGTATTGGACCTTTAGATGAAACCTAGAGGGTTCAGGGGCCGGATGGGGTAGATGTTCATAGAGTATCACTGGAGAAGTGCGGGAGGGATGGAAGAGCGCCTGTATTCTGCACACCTGACGACACAGTGCCCTACAGGCGGCTATGATAAGTTATCGATATCGCCTGTAGTCCTCCATTGCACACCTATCAATGTAGGGTCTTCCGTTATATGCAGCCACATCCGTAAGTTTCCCATACCCCCCCATCTTGCGCCTCAAGTGGGATAACGATAACAACAAAACAACAGCAAGAGCCTTTCATATAACCACAGTACCTCCGGATAAGCCCCTAGAGACAGTGTACCGTTGTCGCAATCTGTTTTACTGAACAATAGAAAGAGAAGGCTATCGAAAGGTTTCTAAGGCAGTAGTATGGTACAACGCCTGGAAGGACAAGGGAACTTTGCGGACGTAACCATACCCGTCAATGTAGCATGTCCAACAAGCCTTCCGCGGCCCATTCGGAAGTTAGAACCCGTGACACCTTCCTTCTAAACCCCGCCTTCTGCGCAGCCAAGCTGCGCACTTTCCCCGACATCCCCGCCCCAGGTACAGTGCTTCCCCAGCAGCCACGAATGGATCTCTCCATTAGCGATCAGTGATCGATATTTACGCATCCTCCTCTTGAAGAAGAAATCCAACCCTCGATAGTCACAATTAGCCCACCGAGCCAGTGTTTGGGTAATACTGTTCCGAGTAGGTTATCCCCTAACCTTACAGCATAACTTGGAGAAGGAAGGGAAAAAAATTAAAAAAAATTTAGAACATAATTTCAGTACCTTGAGCACGAGCTGTCAATATGGCACGGCCAATGAACTCGAGAGGAGGGGGATTACATGTACTCGACTTTTGCTGGGCAGGATGACACTTTACGGTCAGGGGCGATAGTAATGTTATCATAGGAACTCACTCGATTCTCTGCCCTCCCTCAAGGATTTTTCTCAATCGGACTATAGCCGCTTATTCTGTCTGATGGTTCTGGCACCATTTAGCCCTAGCTCAGAGAGAATCAGTATTGAATATCATTACAGACTTCAGTGCGCTACGGACCTAGGTAAAAAGGGGGTATATAAAAATACACCATCCTAGGTGGGAAAGTGGCATCGTGCGCCCATATTTACGTGAGTTCTCGTGAACAAGAATAATAGCCCATACAATTCCGCAACAGCTCAAGAAGCCAGAACAACGAAAACCCCAACCTACCGCCAGAAAACAACGAAAGACAACCCGGGATTTCGGGGCTATCCAAGAAATCCAGCGATGGGGCACTATCAGTCCCCCACCCACAATCCGCAGAACGGCCCATGACTAAACACCGCGCCTACGATACCCCAGCTGAACCGCAAGTCATCACACCATAAACCGAGTCATAGTCCATGACGCAAATCAAGGATAAATCCCAAGCGCCGCATGTTAAGAACTGGAAAACAAGACAGAGCTCAAGATCTAACAGTGGAGTGAGCCAGGGCATGACAACCTCCGAAGAAGCTTTGAGAGTCTTTTTTTTTTTTTTTTTTGTCGACCGGAGGGGTAAATATAAGTTGATCGAATCATGACAGTGACATGCTTTTCCTTATCCGCCGAAGACCATTTCGTCGGTGTGTGATGTACAGTAAATTTAAAAGTATCCCGTACGCAGCGCCGAGAAACTCCAGTCCGGATTTAGTACCGTATGTATGGGCTCGGGTGGAGTAAAATTTGGCATACGAATTTTCCATACTTCTACTTCAGGCCTAACTTACTTGGTGCGCCGCACGGTTTTTAATGAGAAAGCGGTTTGGAGGCCGAGAAGTGGACCAATTCTGTTCGATTCGAAGTCTTCAAAAAGGAAGAAAATAATTAATCGGAGGATTCGGTGGGCCACCTCTAGTCCAGCACAATTGATGGATTGACGATCAGGTGTCCTCCACCCAAAGTGCGCCTGTACTAGTATCATACTAGTACAATACACTTTTGCCGGATCGGCTCTATCACAACCAATCACTCGGAAAACCAAGTACCAGAATCTCCCGGAAAGGAAGTTTCAATTTTTCACCCGTTATTCTCCTTCCTCCATTCTATTTAAATTGGTGTTTTTTCTTGTTTTTGTTTTTTTCAACTAGAAATTACTCCGCCGCCCCCCTCCTTCCAGGTCTGGAGTTCGGTCAGCGCTCGAAAAAGAGCCCGTTTCCATTCGATTCGCTGCCCCACATTTACAAGATTCCAATCCTCCCCGTAGCACACGGTGCCTGCCCCCTAGCTTGGTTCGTGGAGCTGACCATTGGGGTAGCGGCGGGGTATCAATGGGAAGTGCCCGTGATTATAAATCATATATGGCGATTCGTAGGCACTCGTGAATAATAAAGTCCTCACAGCGGGGTATTCGAACGTAGGGGGGAGGGGGGAAGGGGATATAAAAGGGTGAGAATCTCCCACTTGTTTGGCAAGATTCACCGAGGATTGTTCGTCTAAAGGGAATTGCCCAAGCAGAGTATTTTCTTCTCTACCAATAATTTTTTTTCTTCCCCTTTCCACGTTAATCACTTCCACATTCCCCAGCCGCCTCCGCGACTCATAAACCCCTAGCCTATACACTTCCAAGTCTGGCAGTGGGTTGCGACAACCTGATTACCGGTACCGTACCCCGAGACGAGTTGCTCAGCCGAAAGAGCGCACATTCCGAGCACCGTGACCACCGGGCCAACCAGTAACCAAATTGCATAGGCTACGTTGGCGCAAGCTACTAATACTTGTCCTGGGCCTTTGGGCCGCTAGCACACCTTCAGATGAGAACCTTTGCATAAGCCAGGGATGGATGGCTCACGGCCCTATGCTAGCATCACACCTCACCAACCAAACCGATAGGATGGTGTGATAGGTCAGTGCCGGGAGCGGAGTTTAATGCTCAATCGCGCGAACAACCGGTATATACGAACGCTACGAACGCTGCTTCCACTCCTCAGCTCTCCGGGAGCCTACGAAGCTTGCCACGTCCATTCTCCATAGCCTGCGGGTAATGCTGTTCTGGCCACGGCTCCCCTTTGTCTACCTTACCAGGAAAGGTAATGACAAAGAGAGGTATCTTTTCCTATCATACACTGGACCCTTGTAGGAGCATCCGGTAACAAGACAACACGCCACTTGCAAATTTTCAAGGCTTGTAGGCATAGCCGCTATTGCATATGGGCAAGAAGAAAAAATGGGCCGGTGCCTCAAGATTTTGATGGTATGCAATAGTCGTGTTCACAAAAGTCAGAAAACTACGGGAGAGGTCTGGCGCCCCCGACGCAACAACGGACAGTCCCATTCGCCAGCAAAGCCGATTCTCAAGGTGCCAACCAAGTTGCACCCCCCAGGCTGCGTCAGGTACCAGCTCAAGAAGACAAATCCTGAGAACTTGACTTTTCGCAAAGAAAGTACAGCTTGTACCGGTCGTTGTACTCGAGTACCGGGAGCCTCATTAGCCGTAGGTCGTACGCAAAACAGTCGCAGCCCAGACACCTGCCAGATTCGGTGTAGAGGACGGCCCACGAAGGGACCAACGAATATACATCCCACCAATAAACCCCCTGCCTGCCAGCGAGCCACACTGCGCACTGCACACTCACAATGCGCACAAAAATCAGCGATATTTCATAACCGCCGCAACCATCTCATCCCCTACACCCCACCGCCGCATCTCCGCCCCGCACCCACCGACAAGAGACCAACCAGAAAACCCCCGCCCACCGTGTCCGCATCCACCGCACTACCACACCCACCATAGAATAAATTTGCAAGAGGCGGAAAAGTGCACTTTGTCCCATCCAATCACCCCCCCCCCCCCAACTTGAAGAGGTCATTTTTTCTTGTGACCATTTGTCCGCATCCTCACCAAGGCTCTGTCCCAGCAGCCAACTGGTCAATTCAAGTGTACTCGTACCTGATAGCAGGCAGGCTGTGCGATAGCGATAGCAACGTTAACCTTAACCTTAAGCTATGACAGCACGTCCAGGCAGCACATATTTTTTGTTATTTAGGTCCGCACGTCATAAGTGATGTAAGGCAAGGGTGCTCACACGATGGTCATCGTGAACCTGAGACTGGGGTCCGCCAGAGCCTGCGGCAGGGGTGAAGCACTGTACTTGTATGATGATGGAGGAGGAGGGGAAGGGGGGGAAAAGGTGGTGCTGTCTGGCCACCCATACACGCTGCGGTTTTAGACCGGTCGACGGCGCGCGTGAGTTCACGGGATAGGACAGGAAGACAGGCTGGTTTCGATGTGCGAACTTGCATGCTGCGCGCGTGTGTGCCATTTCATTTGATTGACTGAGGAGAGGAAGGAAACCACCCCTCCCCCTCCTCCTCTCCCCGATGACGATGACGGTGATGAGCTGTGGGATGATTGTTTCGTCTGTCCGTCTCCGTCCGTCCGTCCGTGCCATTTTTTGAAAACTCGCACGTCCCTAAACTCAGCACGGAGGAGAGGACGAGGCATGCGGTAGATGGCCTCACCGGGAGGGATAGCAAGCTCCGAATGATTGGGAATCACGATGCCATACATTTTATTTTTATCGGTCGGTCGATTGGATTCGGCTTCGTCATACTCGTATTACCGGTACAGTACTCGCTTTTTTTTTTTTTTTTTCTTCTTCCCTGGATATTAGAATCCGGCACATGACCGCTCTATCAACGAGCGCAGGACAATGCTCTATCGTGACCATGATGCTGCCAGGGCAAAGTCGTCGTAAGCTCGAGCAATGCCGCTGCCTGAAGGGCTTCTCGTCCTTGAACCTTTTTTTTCTCCAGGTGACAATATGATACAAGCAGAAGCGCCGACCGTGCGCGTTCCGGGTCCGCCCGAAGTCCGAGTTGCCGGAAAGGAAGGGTCACAAGCGGGATCCAGTATGGATACTTGTAAGATGGTCGATAATATTCCGTACTCGAGTACAGTTACCTTAGGTAATGTACGAGTAAATACACGAGTAAAAGTATGATTCCAGGAAAAAATAAATAAAACTACACCTATGATATATCCAAACCCAACCTAGCGAGCTTACCCCCCCCCCCCCCCAAACTTTACCCCCCTTGTCCCCTGCCCTCCCGTCCGATACTGCAATTATACCCCCGTCCGCCTCACCCCCCACCAAAACACGCACAATGGGACACCAAGTATCATAATACCATGCCGTAATGGCAAACTACAAAAACCCCCAAAAAAAGTTCACAATGAATCCCCCCCCCCACCCCTCAGCCCCAAGTATGGTACAGTATCACAATCGTACATTACAAAGTACCGTAGGACACAGATACAGTACTCGTACAGGTGCGGTGGCACAACTGATCGTCTGGTTTGCACATTACAACCTTTTTTTTCCCCATCCCTTTCCCACAACTTGAAACGCACCTTGAGGATTGATTCCTGCAAGAGGGGATTTTAGTCATTGCGGTGCGGTCGGTACAGTAGACTGCCCTAATCACTGTACGAGTACTCGAGTACTTGTATTTTATGATGCGGTATTGTATTTCTCCGCCGTGACATGTCTCTCGGGCATTTGGGGTGTGACAACATACCGTATGTGAGTGCGAGTGTGAGTGTGAGTCTGTCTGTCTGTCGGTGTTTCCGGCGCTTACACCGGGATGTGAACATTTTGTGGGGATTTTTCTTTGCTTTGCTTTGTTTTGTTTTGTTTTTGTTTTTTTGGGGGGCTCTGGTATGGTACTGTACTTGTATCGTTGACTGGATTGTGCTTGAATTTTTTTTTTTGTTCACTTTTTTTCCCCTGGTTTGTTTGTGTTCCCATTATGAAAAAGATTAAAAATTCCCCCCTAGTGCCAGAGTTTCTCATTTTTGTTTTCCCCTTCTTCTTCTGACATTAACCTAAAAAAAAAAAGCTATCTTATCGTGCTATATAATATAATAAAAACAATCAAGAAGGTAAATATTCGTCTGATCATCTCCCGCCGAGTTTTTCCTCAATCCGTCAAGAATAAGAGAGGTGAAAGGGGAAAAGAAAAAACGAACGGATGGTGTGTACATGATGAAATTGGAAAAGGAAATATGATTAAAGATTGAGGGAGGAAGAAAGGAAGAAAGAAATGAGCAAGCAATACAACCGTCCACCCAGTATGATGATGATGATGATAACGCAAGAAAAAGAGAGGTTGTAAAAAGTGGGTATCCCAACGAGATGGAAGAAGCGGAAAAAAAACATATTTTAGCGCGAGTAATAAGTGATCTGTGCAAACCTCCCAAAAAAAACAAAAAAACAAAAAAACAAAAGGAAATAGCGTGCTATCGCTGGGTAGTTCGTCGCCAATTCGTTATCGTACTCTTCGCGCATCGTCACGCATCGCGTCGTAGTTCTCCACCCCTCTCCTCTCCTCTCCTCTCCCCATCAACTATCGTGCTGAAAAAAGCCGCTCACCGCCCTCCGCAACGAGACTCCGCCAAACAGCCATTCGTTCGCGTGCCGTCCGTACGTTATCGCTGCCGGGTGTCTCTGCTCCCCACGCATGCTCCCGGCGCTCCGGGGCCGGGGGCACTGTTGCGGTACGAATGCTGTTGGCGGTTGCGGGTAGCATTTCTTGCCCTGGTGGTGATGGTGGTGAGGGACGAAGGATTTGACCTTGTGAATGGTTTTGTCAAAGAACCTCGGGACGTGGCCGTCGCCGTTGGGGGAGGTGGGGGTTGTCGGGGGGCATTCTAGAGAGGTGGAGGTTGTGGAGAAGGTGTCGGTTTTGGTGTTGAGGGGAGTTATTGAGGAGATGGTGTCGGCTTTGGTGCTGAGAGGGGTTATCGGCGACATGTTCTTGTCTTTGGGCTCTCTTGGTTTTTGGCTTTTTGGGGGCTGAATTGAGCTTTGGGGTGGAGCTTGAGGGCTTTGTAAGGGTGGTGATTGCGGTGGACAGCAGATAGTCGGTAAGTGGAATATGTATGCGATGGAGAGAGATGTGAGCGCAGCTCAATTGTCTGATGGTATAATAACTCTTTCCTTGACGTTGGCAGAGGAAGATTGCATTTGCCTACCTCCCTCCCTTCTTATAACTACAGGACGAACTCACAGCTTGCTCCCCCCCCCTCCTGGTCGATTCGTTCATCAAGCTCCATCCATGCATTCCTTCGTGCTCACCCACTCACTGACCCTAATGATCTAACGACATCATGCACTTCGCACTCCCTAGTACTTGTAGGCGGGCCGATCATTGGCCAACGGGGGTTGCAGGGGCTACCTCTTGACCAGGCTGTCTACAGTACGGTAATATTCATGGTGGAGCGGGGAGAAAAATAGGAAAAAGAAAAATATAAAAGTGGAAAAAGGAAAGAGGAAGAGGAGGAGAAAAGGAAAAAAAAAAGGAATTGCGCAGGTAGCACACACCAACATTCATGCACCATTCGCAGAATTTAACCTATGGATACTGCAGGAAGAAAGTAGGGAAGTTACTCGAGTACAGTACCGGTACTCGTGCAGTAGAAACGCAGACCGTCCCTGCCGGGCAGTGCTCGTACCAGTACGGTACCGTAGGTGGGATAACTCACATCCCCGGCTCGCATCTATCCACTCATCCCCACCCATCCGTCGGGCATTAACTTAACTTGGACTAGAGAGGCTTTTGTGATGTTGAAAATTTCCCCTCCCAGTAACGCGTTGTTTTGCTCTGCCGCAATTCCGGTGTTCTTGGCTGTTGATGATGGCCTGGTGAAAGCTCCTTGATATATACTTGGATCCCGTAACTCATGATAGCCTTACAAGCATAATACCGGTATGCCCGGACGTTAACCGAAGCAAGCCCAAGCAATTGAAGTGCCCCTTTTGTTGTTAGACCGCCAGTCTCCCAGGTCGGCAATATCCTCGTCCTCCCAACTTTGCAAAATGGCACTCATGAGTCATTTCAAACCTTTTAGGACCACAGCGCCGGGTACACAAGAAGCTTCCCTGTTTCTGACCAAAGTGGGTAGGGTCCGCCCGGGCATCCCTGAAGCAACCGGAACATGAGTCGCCTGACTGAGAGAGAGTGCGGATTACCGGTACGGTTATTCCCACAAAGTTAGCTAGCATGCGAGTATGATATATCACACCCGCGGAGGAATTGGGTATACCATTACCGGATCACTTGTTCTACAATCGGAGTGTGGAGGGACTGTGAGGATTAAAAACCTATGCCTAGCTGGACGAATAAGAGTTCAGTGCTTTCCGCATAAGAATGGTCATTTCACCATGACTTTTTTTTGTCCCAGGACCATACCGGTATCAAAGATCTGAGACGCCAAGACTGGCGTTGATTGGTCCCCCCCAGGCACCATAGAATGGTCACGGCTGGGCATGGGAGCATCGCCGTCATGACGGCGATGAGGAAGGAGGAAAGGCGAGACCTAGTGTTCTGTTCCTGGCCGCATTGTGCTGCTGTCGTGGGCTGTAGTACTGGCAGGAGGCTATGGGCACCGCACAAATCCTTTTGGAGATTGGGGGATGATACCCGCACCATAGGGCTCCGAACGCGCGAACCAGACAAACGGTCCAAATTGTCCAAGGGGACGATTTCGTACTTTACCACGCTGATCCAACCTTAAGCAACAGCGGATAAATTACTATATTTGTGGAAAGTTGAATGATACCAAGAGAAAGGAAAAAAAAAGAAAGAAAAAAACAACCCTGCTCAGATCCATCCAACCATCAATCGCCCTATGGGCGAACACACTCCCACTTCCGCGAACAACAAGTACAGAATCGAGGTGTTTTTCCCATTTGTCGAAGTTCTCCTCGTGTGCGCCTGCCGTCGCTGATGGCTCGATTGCAGTTCTCGCGTCGGGATGATAATGCGATGGATCCCATTCGCGTGCGGTAGGGTACTCGTACTTGTATGTGCGGGTACCGGTATTGCCATGCAGCGCGGAGTGGTCTAGACTGGTTTCAGGGTGAGTACTTGTACCTCTCTCGCTTGCTGGATTTACCCGTACGGTTATCCATGTCCTGGTTGGTGCAGTTGAGCCGCGCAGGGATTTTCCGGGCGCGGTTAGGGGATACCGGAAGCGCAAGGCAGACCAGACAGACCGGAGTGGAGGAACTTTTGTTTTTGTTCCGCTTGGTTGGTTAGGGAAAGAGGTGGATGGTTGGATTGGGGGGGGGGGGTGTGATTGATTCATTGATTGCAGGGTGACAACTTTACGTTAAAGGGATCTCGAGCACAATTACTTGTACGGTACTCGGACGCGAGGTGAGGACGGGAAAGACAAGAATTACCGGTACAGATAACTTTGAAACGCAGATCCTTCCTAAACAATACCACTCTTGTCCGGTGATTATCCTGTCGTGATCGTACCGGTGACTTACCGTCCTCGCGTACAGTAGTGGGATTGGCAGGGGTTGACAATACAAGTACAATACTGTGCTAGTATTATGACAGGCTTCTGGAAGTTTTGTGGAATGCTGTGATGTGGTGCGCCCCCGGGTGCCACAACCAGAGTTTTATATTTCCATTTGAGCTCCCCCCACTTTACTACCCGCATTATACTGTACGGTACGGTACGTACCGGGGTCGGGGTTTAGTTCAGCTTCCTGTATTCAATACAGCAACTCCTATCATATCAGCACCACCTGTGTATTGTTGTCATACTTCTAACTGCAAAACCGGTACCGGGGTGGGGAGGGGAGGGGGATCAAGTATAATAATAATCCCGGTATCTTACGATACTTGAAGAGGAATTTCATGTAGTAAGATGACAGCATATCAACATCTACATCTACCGTAGTCTACTCGAGGAAAGAAGCACGGTACCGGTAGCGGGAATCACCGCATGGTATCATAGGATTTGTCATATTGTTATCAAACACTCTGCCTTTCTTACCTTACCCTACCCTACCCTACCATACGGCACTGCAATCCCGAGACGTCAAAAGCACGAGCACAGGTATGATATGATATGTCTCATAGTCCATTGCAGGGAGGGAGAAGCACCATCGATTGCAAAATCACAATCTAGATTAACTTCGTTCCCCCGGCGAGTCCGAACGGCCACCACCACCACCACCACCACCACCACCACCATCCATACATACATACACCCACCCACAAAACAGGAAACCAAGCAAACAAGCACCAACGGCCCAAACCAAACTGATAACCCACCCTTCCCCACCAACCCTGCAAGGCCAAAAGCCAGAAACCACGAACCAGAAACCACGAACCAGAAACCGGCCTCCCCGCCATCTCCCATCAATCCACCCGTCCACATCCATTCATACGGTGCACATCACCCACAACCACACCCACCACGCATCACACAACCACTTCCAAACCCCACCCTGCATACACAGTGCACCTTTACAAGTGGAATTACCATGCTGAACAGTACTCGTACCATACAGTAACCCTCCGACAAACCACAGACCAGTGATTTCGCAGAATGATAAGAGAGTCACCAACAGGCTCTCGGCCTCGCGCGGTAAGCTAATGAATAACCCCCCCCGTCCACCCCCCACCCCGATACTGGAGTATATATACGACGACCAACGACGGCATCCATTCGCGGTGCTCGGGAACGTTACTGTCACTCTGCCGTACTATCCATTCGTTCCTTCGTTTACCAGTAGGGTACGAATCCTTACCACATCCCATGTTAACCTGCTATCTCTCGTGATGCGGTGTGAGAAGTTACGTGCGGTGCGGTGCTCGAGTTGCATACGGTACTCGTACACTCGCTACGGATAGTATGTCCGGACCATTGGGTAGATATCATGATTGATATGATATGATATGATATGATATGATATGATATGATATGATATGATGGAGAGTACTGTACCGGCGCGGCACCCTACCGATCGTCGCTGCCATTATGAACCCTTCACGTGGGATGGTGCAGTACAATACCGTACGTATCGTGAATCAGCCAATCAGTCGATAAATCTGGGGAAGGTTTCATCGGCGCCTGCGGTAAAACTTTGTGGGAACTGTTCCTTCCTTCCTACTTGCGTGTAATGAGTTTAGCTGGTGGAGGGGCTCCGCTCGCCTGTGATGTTCCCGATTATATACAGCACTGTATCTCGTATTTCGAGTGCTGAAAAAGGGAAAAAAAATATTTAAAGTGCGCTTTTTTTTTTTTTTTTGTAAAAACTATCCTTTTGCATACCGATTTGTTTGGGATGATATTGATTTACCTATCGATTGTCTCCTCGGGGCACGGCAGTTGCTCTCTCACTCTGGGGACGGAAAGAACCGTGGGCCAAATGATGGCTGCCGCCTTGGACGGTGTTACATAGTGTGAAACGGGGATAGTATGGTAGTAAATCGCCCGTGTCAAACGTGGCCTGGCATAGTGTGGGAATCTGGGGTTGCGGTGGTCTAATCGGATGACAATCGCAGTGGGCATGGCATGGCATGGCGGAATCGTGTGGTCAAGTTACCGGCGCCTTATCGTGCATGTTCACTCCCATAACTGTGCTTTAACCATAACTGACTGAAGGATAGGAGGGTACCCGCAGGTTAGGTATTTCAGCATCCAACAGACGAAACGAAACGAACGAAAGAAGGCAGAAGGAAGAAAAGAGAAAAGGAAGAAAGCACCCCTCCCCCTACCCCACCCTTAAATTACAAAATTTTTCTCTGTAGGAGAGAAAAAATAAAAATAAGAGAGCAAAACAAGGCGCCGGAATCTATGCATCACATTTGAAAAAGAAATTTACCATATGCCGCTCCAGATTTTTTTTGATACTGCGCTGCACTGTAACACAAAACAAAATCTAAATCAAACTTCTTTAGTAGGGTGGAAGAAGGCAGAGAAATGGTTATAAGGGAATGTATGATATACTAGAGCATCCTCGGGAGCTCCGTAAAGGGTCTGACGCCCTTTGCGTCTTCATATTCAATGACCTTCCACAGCGCGGCCTTGGCGTTCTTGATGTCCTTTTCCAGTTCGAAAGCTCTGGACAGGGCGAGCCACGCTTCGGGCAGATTCCACCCCCGGGGTGAGGAAGTGAGGGATTGGAGGAGGGCCAGCGCACGGTTCTTCCCGGTTACCCATGTTTGCGGGAGTGGGACTTGAGGTGTAGGGGGGAGTTCCAGGAGGATTTCACAGAGGCCTATTATGGCGGGCGGGTAGTTTACGTCTATCATTAGTGCTGCTTCGAAGAGCTCGGAGGCCTCAGATTTTTTGCCTTGGGAGAGGGCGAGGTAGCCCCGCTGGTCAATGTTAGTCACTATAAATTTGAGGGCGTAACGGGGGGAGATATGTACCTCTGCGAAAACTTCTTGACTACCCTCCCCGTCACTGCCGACAAGTCCGGTCGCCTCGTCTATGGCCATGGTTGCATCGTTGAAGAACCTGCCCCGCCGGTAGAGTGCTGCGACGAATAGCCAGACACTCCGGAGGATCGCGATGGCTCGCCGTTTCTCGTCCGCTTCGTTTAGCTTTGGCTCTGAAACTCGTATGGGGCGGCGAACTGATCCCAGATTTCTGTCCGGTATAGTGCTGCTGAGCGCGCTGATTCGATGTGGGACGTTTGTTTGTGGGGCGTTGTTGGGAATGTCTACTGCCTTCGGTCTCGTGCCATCGCTATTGGATTGGTTATTATCCGAAGCCCCATCTGACACAGGGCTGGGGTTAGGCGGAGACCGGAGGACGGTATCCTCTTCTGGTTGGCTATAGTGGAGCTTGGATTTGAGAATATGGAAGAGCTGGGGTTGGATTGGGCCTCTAGAGTAATCGAGGGGGCTATTGCCAGCGCTCGTACCCGTCGATACCGATGATACACCTGCGCTACTCATAGGTAGTGATGGTGTGGGAGGGACCTCATCCCGTTTCTTCAGTCTAGATCTCATCGAAGACGAGGAGGATCTTCGACTACCAAGCGACCTAATCCTTCTTATTGTCCCGCCAGAGACGCTATTACGGCGTAATACCCTTCTTTTTTCCTGTGGCATCTCGGCAGGTGAAGTTCCTCCATTAGTATCCGTAACTTGAATCCTTGGCGGCGCGAAGGGTGTATCCAACGATTCGGCTTCTGACTTGGGACGTCGCTTAATAAGCGAGCGGCGACTCGTAGCGCTGGATTTCCGAAGAACACCTGGTGACCGCAGCGGCTGTCTCGCCGAAGCAGGAAGGCTTAAAGGTGTAAATAGTTCTTTTTTATTTCTCCCGAATAGGCGAGACAGCCGCTTAGCTGTCGAGGGCCTTGATGAACCGGCCGTGTGGGCCCCCGTACTCGGTTTGTTGGTATCAAAGCTATCTACTGGGCCGAATTGGCGCCTAGGAATGCCATTGAAAGCTTGGCTGTAGAGATTCAAAAGCTTTTCGGTCATTGCCATAGCTTCGTCGAATCCTTCTGTTACCTCAACAAGTAGCAGTTGCGTCATTTGTACCTGCAGGGCAAGTTCTTTTTCTCCAATCTGGAGGCTTTGGGCGTGGCTGCCAAGAATTTCCAACGCCTTTGAACAGGCGTGTTGCGCACCATCGTACTCCTCTGTTGCGCTTGTACTCATTAGTAGCGCAAACAGATGTAGCATCGGGATGGCTCGGCGTCGATAGTCGCCTTCAGTGGCCTCGTGGGTCAGGGCCTGTAATCCCTTATCAACGCCTTCCATTGCGGATACTGTGTCTCGTAGCCCAGCGTATACCAAGGAAAGCCCATACCAAGCATCCACATCCCCACTATTAAAGCGCAGGCCTCTTTTAAACGCCCTCTCCGCTGATCTGAGTATCGCATCTCTATCGTCGCCTTCGGTGGTCTCGAAGGCCCAACAGGCATTAGCGGTTCCAATCGCCCTGTACACTTCAGAGAGCACCTCCTCGTCGCCAACATGCCATTCGTCTACCCACTTTTCGCATTTCTCGGCAAGATTCATCCCTCTCCTCCCTTCCCCTATATGCTTACATAGAAATCTTACGCCCTCAGCCGCAGTCTCGAGTATCTCCTTGTCTGAATCAAAGTCAATCTCTGTGTTTCCTTTGGCAATCCTCTCCTTCCCCTTTTCTACAAGGTCGAGATATGTGTTTAAGGCCATCTCCGCCTCCAGGAGATTTCCTATGGCCGAGAGTGTGAAGAATAAATGTCGGAGGATTCTGGGCGAGAGAAATGTCTTTGCTGACGCTCTGTACAGAATTTCCACCACAGCAGGCGCATCATCTGCAGACCCGCCAGCCATGTGCCAATTCTCGGCAACAATATCAACCCATTCCCCGATAGGCTCGTGATATTCTACCGCCTCTGGGAATTCTAGGTTTCTCAGGAGATAGCCCTCATATATGCCTTCCACAACCTTGAGCTCATCCCTCAGTTCCGATGTTGACCCAGCCCCCCCGCCCCATCCGGTACTGGAGTAATTTGGGCTGTTGGACATCGTTGGGCCCTTCTTCTCCTCTAATGGTGATGATGAACCGGAGGGCAGGTTTCGAGGCGCTGGCCTTTGGGGATGGTGAGAAGGCAAAAGCAGAAGGGATAAGAATCGGAAAAAGTATCTATACACTTCCTGCCTTTCTCTCTCCTTCCTAGTCCCATACCCAATGTTCACAGAGGCAAAGTTGGTTTTCGCTGTACTCGGCCTTCCGGTGCTCGGTGTCCCTACCCTAGGCCTCGTGAGATTAGATTTTGCTGTACTGGGCTGGGGCCTGGTCTGACTGAATCGTGAAACGAAGGTGCGGAAGGTTCGAAAGGCGACTGCCACAGTTACTTCATCAACCAACGATTTTCCAATAGCTACTCCAACTTGCTCTTCTTCTTCCTCCTCTTCAACCACCCTCGGGACCGGATAGACGGGAGCGGCTCGCGCGGTCCCGGGGCGACTGTTCATCTGTCTAGGAGTAACGGGGATAGTTGTGAGCGGTGGATGAGGTACGCCCGGTGTGTTATTCTCCAACCAACAGCGATACGCTGCGAGAGCATAATGAGCCAGAGCTCTCTCAGTCCAAAAGAGCAGTGAGGGCGAATCGCGTCGGGTCGCTGACAGTGTTGTTGCAAGTCGTGTGGCAGTACGGTATAACAATAGCGGTAAGGAGAGATCACTTGGGTTCGTATGGGAAAGGGCGATTCCTAAGACGATTGTGAGCAAATGTGGCGTTCTAGCTATTAGGGACCAAGCTCGGTCCTGTACCTGCTTATCCCAACCCACTCTGCCGACCGCATATAGATATCCATGAGATCATCCAGCCAGTTAAGAGAGCAGGAGAACAGTTGGAGGACAAAAGCAAGTGTGGCCCCTACGCACCTTTGAGAACGAGCGACTTAACCCTCACAATGTCAAAGCACTCCCCTTTAGACCCCCCTCCGGTCCCTCCATCCCAATCCTCGATTTCCCGCTCATGAGGGATGATACGTAGCGCTTCACCCCACTCCCCTTTTAGCACGCATACAGACGCAATTGCGACCCTCGCCTGAACCAAGTCCTCTCGTGTTATAACGGGGCTCCATCCGCCTCCAGCGGGGGTTGGTAACTTTGGCAGCCGGCGAGGGGACTTGTCCAGCTCGTCCTCTAGGGGATCTTGCAGGGCGTCGAGCGAGACGATGTAGGACACGATGGTAGAAGGCGACGAGCCTGGCGGTGGAGGAGGTAAGAGTTGTTGAAGGCGTGCCTCGGTTTGTGCCGTCATGGCAAGACCTGAGATTCAAGGGATTAGTTGAGTGATCAACGGCATCCGAAAGCTACAGGGTTGCAGGTAAGGTGAAGTACATCTCCGGCCAGGCGCATGCTTGGTGACCTTTCGACAAAGCTCCAGAACAGCCTCCCAGTCGCCATCGCAGCGAGCGGTGTCGAGCAGCTGAAGAGCGTTGTTCCCCTTAGCCTAGCAGCAGAATAATAGCGGGTGTCAGTATGATGACGTATCAATTGGGAAGCTGTGAAGCCGGGGATAGCGGGCGACCATACCGTGCTCATGGGTACTTTAGGAGACTCGGGTATAGAATCTAGGCTGTAGTCGAATAAGACCCAAGTGCTTGAGATCTCTCGAATGTTTATGGGGAGCAGAGTTGTTGGTGTTTAGGGTATGGAGAAGCGTTGGAGGGTGTTGAGGCTCAAATCGCGGGTATTCTACGCGCTGGCCCATTCTCTGAGGGCACGGCAGGGCTCAACGCAGTATTTGTACAGTGCACCACCCACAATTGCCGTGGTGGCTCTTGTCCCCTTCAGCTGGGTCCCGGGTCCGCCCTGTTTTTTTTATAAGTACCGTATCGCACGAACAGCGTTATCTCAGGTAAGCATTTTTTTTTGGTTTGTTTTACGGTACTCCAGTACCATAAAATGATTGAGGATTAAAGTTTGATCAATTTTTTTTCCCCGCAAATCTTTCATCTGCACCGGGGTGTTGTCGGGGGTATCGTAGTCTAACATGCAGTTCCTTGTCTCGACTAATTTTTATGGCGATCTTTCGGTGCCTGGAGTCCAAAAAAGTATAAATTCACGGTGGGAGCCAAGGCATTGCTAATTCTGTGCGCATACAAGCAATGGTTATCATACTACGGTAAATCAGATCAGAAGAAGGTGAGACCTCAACATTGAAAGCTTGGGGCTCGTTAGCCACTATTTGTCTTTCTATGGATGGATCTCAAACATCCTTTGTTGGGAATCATGTGCGTGAAATTGGGCTATTTCAGCTGTGCCGTCCGCCCCCTCGACACAAGAAGAGATACGGTACTTCAACGAGGAGACCAAAACATCGTAAGTTGTTGTTATTAACTTAGTCGCGACGTCGGTAATCTGCTCCAGCTCTGAATTGCCGCAAGATCCCTACCCGGCATGGCTCAGGGGAATAAAATAGTGCCCAGGCAGACAGCGTTTGGGCAAGCGGCTTAGAGGCTTAAGATGGCTTGATCGGTTGATTTTCAGGATCGGCTTTGGGGTCCTTTCCCGCTGTAGTACTCGAGCGTATATCTACCGAGCATTCGAGTAGACACTCGTGTCAGGGGATTCAGCGTGCAGTATTGTATGGCGGAGATATCTCCTGAGTGGGGATTCTACAGTACCGGTATTTGAGCACCTTGAAGTAACAGGGATACTTGCATTGTCGAGGACCAGCATCTTGAGCGAGTGGGGAAGGATCTTATTCAGGTCCCTGGATATGCGTATTAATATCGAGATTCGGCATTTAGGTTTGTCTGAATCTAGTCCTGCCCTGATATCACAATATTATTATCATGGTTGTTAAGGTAATATAAATTACGGGTTATGGCTGTTGGCGGGTACGAAATCATATCCCGTCGGTGGTACCGTACCGGTAATTTACTCGAGTATCAGCTCCAAGCCCAGCGCCTGACATCAACCAGCTCTGTACAAGTACAATCCGGGCCTTCGACTCGAACGAACTTGGCTTATGATACCGGTACATGATTAACAGGCTTGAACAGACTGGGGCTCGAGAGTGAGGCTCGATCTGGGATAAAGGGCCCGAGGCGTTGCATACGCGCAGATATTTTTATCATCACCATCTATCTTCCCTCCCGAACCATAGAATTTTCCTACCCTCCCTTTCAGTTTTATCTCTAGATTTCGTCCCTCAGTGCCGTGTTCATACCTACTTTAGCTCCTGCGCGTGTGCCTTCTATTCGCCCGTTGTTAAATCGATGTGCAAGCAGGCGAACTCCTGTACAGTACAGTACCGTACTAGTAGAGTACAGGCGCCCCCCAACCAAGCTCCTGACGTATGACACCAATATTAACTCGCTGTAGTTATATGGGGTTCATACCCTGTTGGTGCGCATGTCTCTCAGCGGGGTTGATATGCATTTTTGCGCCTGTATCTGTTTGGATTCGCCTCTCGCTAAACTATATACACTAAATGTCACGTAAGGTGGCCCGAGTTCTGGCGCGGCCCGGAAGGTAACAAGAGACGGTAGACTATTAGGGTTTTTTTTTCAACATTGGAGACTTGTAACTTGACAAGAGAGTAGGCGGGTTACGAGTAGTCCCTAGCGGAGTTTGGATGGGTGTCGGGGTGATCAAGTAAGTTCTCCCAGTGTGCACCATTTCTTGAAGCAAATTTATAGATGATATAGCAACAAGTACCCTATAAGTTAAACTGCAAGTTTAGAAACCCTTTTTGGAATACATTTTGTATGATAAGGCATTGCATTACAAAAAGTTGGCATGCTGGATATAATAGGGCCTAAAGTCTCACTATTGGTATGATACATATAACACCACGACATATAACCCCTGAACGACCTGCCGGAGTTGTCACGGTCGCAATCTCCTCTCTCTTGTCCGGAGAAGCCCATCTATCATAGCGATAAGGGCAACAAATTTTCTATGTGATAATAAGCGAACGTAACCGGCAGGAGTATATTTCTTGCCGTTTATGCGTTTGTTACCCATGTGTTTTATTGCTTTACCTTGGAGGAATGCACTTAGTATCATACTTGTACGAATACTGCACCGCTGGTCAAAAGAAGAAAGAAAAAGACATCTTTACTTCCACTTTTCCCAGCTTTCCTTCCCACGAGAAGGTCTTGATAGCTTCCCCCTGTAGAGAAGGGTATGTTAACTTCTTTTCTTCTTTCCTTTCCTGTTCCACCGGTGGACCACGATAGATATTCCCCTGCCGTCTTCCATTGCACTCAATCTACAGTATGATTGTCTGTATTTATGATATTATTCTAGTTACCGTATTAACTATTAACTTGAATAGGAGCGGCGCGTCTTAGGACGTCCCAATTACCTATTTTGGCGGGGGGCCCGGAGAAAACACCAGCAGAACAGAAACCACGCGTTACTGAGAGGGGAAACCTGGACGTCCTGGGTGGTATGTCTCTTATCATATTCGGGTTAATACAGTATTTTGTCGGCAGGAATACGGTACTGGTACGCCACCCAACCCCAGGCCCAGTGAGAGTATGTTGAGGCGCGCTCCATGGATTATGGTTCGTACTCGTACATCTTGGCCCGCCCTGGTGGTGATTGTTTTTCTTTTTGTAGGTAGTCTGACATTCAGTTTTGAAAGGATATGGCTATGGGGGGGCTAGCTACATGAATCGTATTTGTATAGCTCGGTATTCAGGCATGATATCTGGGCTTTCTATAGGTTGTGTCGAGAACTTGGTTGTTCGTTATTGTACCATGCACGCACACGGTTCGACAATTATAATACGAGCTAGCGTTTGCCAGGAGGAAGGGGGTTTTTATTTCTGTGCTACACTACAAGCAGCTGAAATATAATGACAACGTGAAAAAATACCAAGGAAGAAAGAGTGGAATTATAAAAACTAAGACATGTTATGATCCCTTATACGTTACTCGTTTCTTACATCCGCCCTTTCCATCATGAACTCTTGATTAACCCCTCGTTCGATTCCTGCCCCTTATCTGCGGGTGTAGTGATAGGGAACCTCTGATTCCTAAAGATCCCCTGAGCTTTGCACCACTCATACTCCACTCTCCACTTACCCTCCAGTTCCGACAATGGACCAGCGCACCCATCCTTAACAGGGGTCATAACGCACTCTTTGTAGGCATCAAGCGCCCTCAAGGTCTCAATACTAGCCATGCAAATTTTGACGGAGGGGAACCTGATCTCGGCCGCGGCGGTCCGCCCTTTGGCCGAATCCACATATTTGAATTCGAACGCCTCATAGTCGATCCTGAACCTGCGAGTCTGGGACTGGATATCTGTGCGCAGTTGAGACTCGCAGACGCGCAGCGGGATCTCAGAGATAGAAATGCACCTGGTGAAGTTGTCCGCGACGGCTTTGGCGGTCTCCTCGTCCATGTTCAGGAGCCCGGGGTCCCGGGAGGGGATGAGGCTCGCTTCGGATGGGAGGCGTTCGCTGTACCAGAAGATTCCGCCGTGGTCAGTGACGTAGTTAGCGTAGGCCTTCGCAGCTGCCTGAGTGGTGAAGAAGATGTTGATGTCTATCAGTGGTCCCTCACGGCCCTGGAGGGAAACTTGGTCGATTGTGCCGCCTCGGATGTTCTGGAAGATCTCTGAGTGAGAGGCTATGCGGGGGACACCACGGAGGAAGACGCCGCGGGACTTGAGCTCCCGCTCATCGTTGCCATGGCCAACGTTGGTGGGGCTAATGTCGGTGTAGTGGGACTCGGAAATCTCGGGTGTGTGCTGGCCCTCTTGCTCGTAGCGTTCCGGGAAGTCAAGGTCTAGAAGCGGAGGTAAGCTACTACCTCCTTTCCCCGGGCTGTGCTCATTGGAAACATTGCGGGACCTCTTCCCTCGACTCATCTCGTTCTGCAGAGCATGCAGTTGGCTCATCTCTTGAGAGAGGGCAAACACTTGCGGTGGGAATCCTGGGTGCTGTGAGAAGGGTGCATATGGGGGAAGGAAGGTTGCATGAGAGAAGGGAACCATTTCTGTACCATGATAGAAGCCAACATTGGGGCCTTGGGGGCATCCCTGGGGCCCACCTGAAAACCCCGGGGCATTATGAACCTGAGAGTATAGCGGCCGGGGACCTAATCCGGGGAGCATCAGACCCGGGCCTATAGGGTAATTGTGCCCTGGAGTGACTAGGTATGGCGACCTTTGATTACCGGTATATTTTACCAGAGGCCCGGAACCCACACCAGGATGCTGCTGTTGAACGCCCATCAAATTGGCACTAGTACAAACCGGATGTTGACCCCAAGTGCCCGGACCTAGGCCGTTGGATAATTCCCCATTCTGCAATTGGGACGGATCGGTGACTTTTTTCTCGAGGGCAGGCAAGTAAGTATTCATCCACTACAACCCTCATCATCCCCACTTATATTCGCAGTAGGCCTCAGTTAAAAACAAATAATGAAAGAGCTTACAAGCAGTACTCCACACCTCACGACCCCAATTTCTAGAGCCGCTGTCATGTTTTTCCAAAGGGTCCCAGAAGCTCGGAACTATAATAGAATTAAAGGGATGATTGCTCACATTCGTGATGCTCACAGCAAAAGGATGAGACTGTTGCAAAAGATCATCAGTCTCGCCTTCCAACAAGAGCGCTGCAAGGAATAGGTCGTCCTCGGTGACAAGTTTCTCTTCCTTCCCTTTTTTCTCTCCCTTCTCTTCTTTCTCTCGCGTCCCGCGCCTCCCCTCTTTCTCTTGCTTCTCCTCCTTCCCCTTGACCTGACCTGTGTGACCCTGGCTCCAGCGATTACGAGGGAAGGGCTCTGTCACTGCTCCTGCCACCTGCGCTTCGGTGGGAACTCCCTTCCTCCCGGCAAATTTGAAAACAGGAGCGGTGGCGGAAAGCCCTTTCTTCTTGAATGGCCCAGGTGTTTCGTTTTTCATCTTGTCACTAGATGGTGGTTGGCGGTGCGGATGAGGGAGGTGCGGGCAGCGAGGTGATGGTGGTGGTTGTGGCGGCGACGGGAATGTTCAAGAAGGTGGAGAAGGTGGAGGAGAAGAGGGAGATGGAGGGAGTTTTGACTGCTATGGTGGGTTGCGAGTTATATAGGGTTTCTATGAAGGTTATTATAGGTTTGGGGCAAGTGGGACGGAAGGTGGGGAAAGGTCCCCCCAAGCTGGGAGAATCATACTATGGAGGGTATTCCAGAATTCTAGCCCTTAACCTACTTGATAGCTCTTACCCTTGTTTCCAATCTTGTTGAAAGACGAGAAAGATGTGCCTTAATCACCAATCCCCATCCATCATAAGTGATCACTCGTCTGGAGGTGGTAGCATGCTGCAAGCACGGATCCCAGGGTAGTGTTGTGAGGGAGTAGACGGATGCGTTATTGGTCGGGTATGCAGTTTGTTGAAAACCACTTCTGTTACTGTGAATCGGTGATGGAGCTTTTTGAACCGGTAAATGGAAATATACTCCCCTGTTGTCCGCTCTGCGTGGTACCCCCCTAGGTGATACAGGTGAGTGCTATGCATATAATCAGCTTCTCACATTCAATGCACAGCACTAACGACACTGCAACCTCCAGGGGCCTAGCGGTGGCAGTCCAAGGTTATAGTGCGGGCGGCGAGATTATTTGTGCTCTGTGATCAGTGAGGGGAAAGACCACCCAAGCAACTTGATAATCACTCTATTTAATTCAATTATTAACGACTAGTCTTAAATAAATATAAGCTTTGCATCTGTAGCCGCAATTGCTATAACAGAGGATACACTATCTCTGATGTGTTGAACTTTCCCCGGGGATTGTTGAAGACCTCACGATAAGTAAGTAATGGGGTGCTCTGGTAATAACACCCCTGCTTCATTTTCCAATTTTGTCATTTGCCAGCCGAAACTAGAAAATCAGGAAACTCCTGAGCCCCGCCGCAGCTCTACTCGGAGCTGAACAGCGTCCGCTATTGGGAAGGCAATGATAGTATCATAGCCCAAAGAGATCTTCTACAAACATGTTCTGCGATAGTAATTAGTAGTAGTGTATAAGAAAACAAGCCTAAACCCCAATTTTTGGTGGTAATTGAGAGCGCAGATGGGCTTAGGCGGAAACCCACACTTCTGTATGGGCCGGTAGACCTATCTCCTCATCCGGTAGCAAAGCACAGTATTATTCCACTTGACAGATCCGATATGATTGTGCAAGATACCCACCATCCCCAACTGCACTCGATCACTCCCCTCCGTGTCCCTAGCATAAACCATCACACCCCATCAACTACGACTAACGTTACACAACCCCCTTCCAATCCCTATCCTTCCACTTTCAACTTTCTCTTTATTATGTCTCGTAGTAAACGAGGTAAGAAGTCTGCAACTGGTAAAAAGTATAGGCACAAAGGCATGTCCCCTGTAGTATAGACTTTTGGTATCAACTCCTTGGTCTGCAAACTAACTCTTAGCAGGCAGGGGTGATAAATTTTTTGCAGACAGTGAGTTAGAAGTGGATACTGCCTCAGATAGAGAAGGCCCTGTTATAGATAGTGCCAGTAGGTCCTAGAGCATTGATATGTAGAGGAGCTTGCTAACTGCTAGCTTCCAGATAAACGTGCCGATAGGGCTATCAACAGTATCCCTAGTGTCAAACCTGGTGTTTCTACTCTCCCCAGTGAGGGCGCCATTAACGGCGAATGCAGCCCGGACGGTTGTAAGCTAAAGGTGGACACCACTACTAAGAGTGAAGCTAGTTACGCTGAAATCACTGGCAAGTCTAGTTATAGTTAAGACATAGGGAGTTAGCTAAAGAGAAAATAGGTAATAGACCTTTTCGGAGGGGCTTCAGTGTTAGCACTAGTCCCAAGCATAGTCCTACTCTCAATCAAGGCTCCATTGATTGTATTAAAGGGGCTGATAGTAAGCCCTCTACTGTTGGATAGAAGCTAAGAATGATGCAGTGGTTGATATTCCTTAGGAACCTGCTGGAAAATGGCAGGTGAAAGTAGCAATGCAGATTCCAACCAACCACTCGGCCAAGTAGACCCTAAGGGCAGGGTAGGTGATTGCGATAACCAAGAGCGTGTTGACAGAAAACACATTCACTCCAATGTATTCCTCACTAGTAAGCTTCCCTCTCTGAGGCTGATTTGGTGCAATTGAGAGTTAGTATTAATGACCAATAGAGGAAGAAGAAGCTTTTATCGCTGGAGCCAAATTGCCAATTTACTTGATGCCAGCTGTGAGGGAGATTATCCGATCCCGCAGAAATTACGAGTTCCTTTGCAACCCTAACGGGAGCGGAAAGGCACGTATCCTATTCGAGGAAGCCTTAGTCAAGCATAACTTAGCCCACGCCCCCGATAATGTGGACCATAGGCTCTTTCCGAAAAAGTATGACAATTATACAGGTGCCCCGAGCAAAATTCCTGATCCAGTGGGTGTAGGTGATCTCCGGCCAGGGTCTTTTCAACAGGGGCTGTCTACCTATGCGAAGATAAAGGAGGGGGACTATTGAACCAGTGGTTTTGCTGCATCCTATAGTCCTTGATGTGAGATTGCTCTCTGGCTATTGTTGTACCAGTAGTGTTAGCTATCACAGCCTATGGTGACATAGTTTCTAACCATTTGCAAGACCCAAGACTTCATGAGTGATCCCCACCAGAAAGCTCTTCCTCCCTCCTACCAGGGGGCAATTTATTCTTTGGGGCTTGATCGATGCCCAAAGGGTCAATGAGGCCCATGGCATCACTCCCCAGGGGATCCCCAAGGACATGGCCTTTGAAGATGTTACTACCAGTATCTGCGGGAGGGTGAAAGTAGGCCGGATTGACTTCATAGCCAATACTGACACAATCTCTGCAGTTATGCACATCTTTAGCATGCTGGGAGTGGGTACAGTTGGAAGAGAGGGAGTTGAGGGGTAGTCGAGGTTAGGAGGGGGCGATATAACCAGGAGCGAACAGCTCTCAGTTTACCAACACCCACTCCAAGTTCTCACCTCCCTCTATAAGCTAGTCCACGTAACCATATTAGCGCGCGCCACTAACTTCCCATGAGATCCCCATGAGCAAGTGACCCCAAGTGCCCCAAATGAGAATAGAATTGGTATTTTTTTAAAGTTGGGCTAACCTTCATTAGTGAAAATCGTGTTAAGATTATCAGGCCACGCCGTACGCGAGATATTGAGAAAATGGGAACGAGGAAAATATGTAGAATAATGAGGTGGCTGTCAAATTGTTTCCCATCAGGTCAAAAACTTTCCCTAAGCTTTGGGTGAGTGATGCACTCTTATACGGGGCGACTTATTTGTTGCACCGGATGATGGCTGGTGACGGACTGTTATATAACTGGGCCCCTGTTGTAATTGTAGGAGACAGTAGTTACGAGTACAAGCTATCTAAGGCCCTCAGACAGATGAAAACGATTTGGGGTGGTACGGTACAGTATCTATTGGTTCCGTTCCCCCATTCTTTCTTTCTTCCATCCCGCCCGGCTAGCTAGGGATACCCGATTGTTGACGAGAGGAGTACACAGAAGAGATTCAAGAGAAGGAGATGGATGGGATCATAACTGATCGGTCGTTTGCTAGTAGTTGCTGAGGCAGGCAAATAGTCGTAGTTAAACTTTAGGGCACAGAACAGTACCGGTACTTGTCAGTATTTATTAGTAGCTTGCTTGTGACGGATATCAGTCTTTCCGGAATTGTGCCAGGGCTAAATTTAGTTAGCGTGACTTGTCAACACTACAGTTGGCGGGATTGTTACTTACCCGCCAGACATTCCTGTGGGCCCATCATTAATTCAGGATACAACGATATCAAGTCAATCGCCTAAAAAAACGGGAAAAGGGAAGACCATTTATGGCAAGAATTGGGCTTCAAGCGCTGAGGTCGACTTGGGCCTGTCGTCTCAATTCGTCCGAGGTTCGGGTTGCCAGAGAGCTACGATACAATGCTCTGCGGTCAGAGAGCCATATTAGTCAAACTCAGGAAAATTGTGTGACCGAATTGGCCCAAGGCGGAGCAAGGAATCATAAGGTCTATATAACAGCCACCTTCCAAACCTCCAATACCCGGAAACCTTCTGAGAACGAAAACATCGGATCCTACTGTCTCGGGGAGGGACAGACTGATACAACACAGATCGGCTAGCTATTATACGGTAGTATCACAGGAAGCCCATGGTTGGTGATTGTTGCGGAACTTATCATCAGCAATGCTAGTATTGGTATAGAAAAAAAAATCTATCGATCGCAACAGCCAGTGCTGGAGATGGTTAAGCTTTGGGTAAATAACTTTGCTTAATTGGAGCAAACATATCTGCGTTTATTTAGCCAGGTCAACCAGGCACTGCGACTTTATAATACAAATCAGCAATTCCAACGGCCAGAGCCAGGACCCGTCGGAGGGTGGGGGAAATGAAAAACAAATTGGGAGAGATATCGAGATAGATACCAACCGATCTGTTGTAAAACAAAATAAAGATCCCTTCATATTAGCACCCAGCGCCCAGTGAGTCAAATAATAATAATACCCAAGGCAAATATAGTTGGGAAATAAAATAAGGAACTACGCTGTGTTATGGAAGGCGGGGAAAGCGAAGAAACACATGCTATTTTTAAACTCAATAGTACAGCACGAAACCCAACGCAAACCTACCAACCTAGCTGCCCAACCAGCAATGTAGTAAGAAAATGTTTTTGTAGGCCATGACAAAGAAGAGAAATTCTTCAACTGAGAGCGCATGACAACCTGACCATTCTATACCCACCGTGTGCAAATGATTGTGGTGCCAAGGCTATTTTGCTTGAATCTTCTCAACCTCCTCCTTAGCCTCCTCCCATCCCTCCAGGTTCTTCTTAGCCCACTCAATGTGGCACTTAGCGTAGACGATCTGTAAGTTGTTAGTATAATTGTGAGCATAAGAGTAAGGTGCTTGAACTTACCATCATTTTCTTCAAGTCTTCTTCTTTACCCTTCTGGAACCGCCTCAAGTCCTTTAGCACTCCATTGCTGGCATCCTTCACATCCTTCTCAGCAGCTTCAATTGCCGCTTCTAATTGCTGAAGTTGTTCCCGTGTTTTACCAATGTTGTCTCTCCTGGTTCTCTCAGGATCAACATCAACAATTCCATGGATAGCATAGTTTAGTTTTCCAAATCCCTTTGCTAAAAAGCCCCCGCTACTGCTCCCAGTAGTTGGTGGTGAATATGATTGAGATTTTCGGTGTTTTTGCGGTTCGCCAGTGCGTGATGATGAAGACCCTGAGCGTTGAGATATCGATTTGGAACGTTGGGGCGGCGAGGTGTCACTATGCGTTGGAGGAAAATCACCAGAGTCAATTGATTCCACGTCATCAGCCCTTGCAGACGGCTCCACAGTCCCAGAACTAGAGCTCTCAAAGTTTGATCCACCATGAAGGTATTGCTCAATCCTCCTCGCTTCCATCTCTGATCTTTCAAGCCCTTGAAGTAGCGTCCGCTTTTGCTGCAATAGATCCCTCGTTATTTCCTCCTGAACACGCTTCAGAACCCGGTAACGAAGGACCTTTTGCACTACACCGGCAAACTGGGCCGATTCGCGCAAAGGCTCCGCGAACCCAGATCCGAGAACAAGAGCCAACTCCTCCGTGGCTATATAAGAGCTATCAACAGCTTGCCCTATCTTCTCAATCGCAGATGCAAGATCTCCAGACTCCGACAACGAGAATGCATTGTACCTAGCGCCCAATTCATGGTAATCAATAGAGAGTTCGGACAACCGTTTCAAGATTCTGCGGTTTACACGCTCGATAGAGCCTGTGAGCAAGTTCTCGTAAACACGTGTGGATGATTCGTAACTGCTAAAATAAGGGTCTAGTTCGGTCTCGGAAAGCGTGTGGTTGGGAGGTGGGAAGCGGGGATGGCCTCGTGACCCGGGACCACCGTAGGACGATGAAGGGGGGGATATGGAAGCATTTTTGAGCTTTGCAGAAGCAGAGGGAAGAGGTAGATATTGATGAGCCGGTGATGGATTGGAAGGATCGAGGGGAGGAGCCCTGAGATGTTGTTTCGGCAAATTTGAAATTGGGGATGAATGTAGCACTTCGCTCTGCAGTTTTTTTTCTCTTATATTAGCACAGTTCCTTTGTCCGCAACGGGATAATGAATGTGAATACCCAGCTCGCATTCGGATCCAGAAACCGTTGGAATACACTATCTTCTCGGATCTTACGCATCCTAGCACATCTATTCAAGAACACACCTAACATACGCTTTCGATGATCAATGATGTTGACATTCTCTTTCGCACTGGTAGGAGCCGCAACGTAATCGGAGACCTGGTGTTTTTCCGGGATGGGAGGGACGATAAGGCAAGGATGGAGCAAGGAAAGATTTTTACGGAGTGATTCAAATTCAGAGTATCGGCGACGAACTTCTAAATCCTATAAGCAAACAGGTTAGCTCGGATACTGAGGTTTCGCCAAGTGCAATCCCGTGGTATTCTTCGAATTCCGGTCGAACACGATTCCCGCAAGAGAAGGGAGAAAGTAGAAAGACAGGGGGGAACAAACTCCTGTTCTGATGGCGTATACGATAAAGCCGCCACTACCCTCAGAATTCTTCCCCGCATCAGTGATAACGATTGGCAGGTCTCTGCGCTCCAGAAGAGTTTGCTCCACTCGAGAATTGTAAACCTGGTCTCTTCTCTGCTGCCGATATCTCCCATCCTCATCCTCATCCTCATCCTCATCGCCGTGTTTACTCCCAGCTTCGTCTCCTGAGGTTTCCGGAGGTGTACGAGGTGGCCTGGTAAGGAAATCTGGCGGTTCCGTATCACTTCCTACATCGGGAGAATAGTCTCCGGGTGCACGGAATGATGAGGTGGAGGACCGACGGTCACACGATAGCGGGTCGTTATCCTCCCACATAGAACCTGCTGTGGAGAAAGTTATTAGGGATGTTTGAGAGCCAGCGGCGGTAATGAAGCTGAAACGCTCCGATTCGTCGGAACCGTCTTCAGACGGTGGGCGGGACTGGAGGATAGAGTAGGACTGTTGAAATCGAAGATGATGAGGATGCGGCACAACCGATGCGAAGTCGGGCGGGAGGTTTGTGTCAGAGCCAAGGGCACCGGCGGGAGCTTGGGTGGTGGATGAGATGGAAGCGGTTGAGGTTGTAGCGGTGGTGGTGACGTCGCGAAGATGGTATGGGGCTGGGGTGCTTTGGATCCATGCTATGGTGTTCGACAGCCACGGCCATGAATCCTCCTTCTGACGATTTTCTGTGTCTACCCGTCTGCGATATCTCCAGATCATCTTTTCTCAACGGTTGTCAATAATTCGGTCCTTGAAGTAAGTATCTAGGTATGGTGTTCAGCAGTGTGACTCCCGCGATGGGTTCCGAATAGCTTTCTCTGGGTACAGGAAAGTTATGGTGGAGCATTTATTTATTTCTAGTTTATGGGACAGAAAATTTTCCAGAACCGGCATCTCTCCATAGGTCACAGCCTTTTTATTCCAGCAAACAAATGGAGTTCTCCCCACTCTATCCTCCACTTGGAGAGTCTCCCACTGGCGGGGTTCAGCAGGCGGGGCGGCGAGTAACTTGTGTCACTTGTCACTTCCTTGAGTCTGCCCACGTGCTGCAGGAATTCAGAGAGCTTAGCGGCTGCTAATGGGTTCAATAGGCAAAGCATCAGTTACACCAGCTTGAAGCACCTCAACGACCCTTCTTCTGATAGGATACCATCCGCCCTTACGAGGTTGATCTCTCTCAAAAATTAACACATTTCCCGCCATTTAAAGCCCTTTGATCATTCATGGGGGGTTCCGGCTAGATGCATAACTTACTCTATCCATCGTTTATTTATATCATAGGAAGGGAAATTATTGCTCCAGTGTATACTGTACCGGTACAGGTTGTGACCACAACCAGCACCGAACTCTTCTGGTGTAGAGGAGGCTCAAAGCAAGAGCACTCAGGGCAAGTATGGTGATACTTGTGCTGTACCGGTACCGGTACTGACACGTAGGAAACCCAGATTTGTATTTCTCAAGTCGCCAAGTGCCATGCAAGTAGACTGTATTTTCACCAATCAAAAAGCATCTGAGCACGCCCCTGTAGCAATAGGAAAAAGTTGCATAAAAATTTTCCAACCAGCCAAGAATACCGTAGTGATCATCAATTCCGAATCTACCCAAATAAGGGCTCTCTGCCAATCCACCATAACCCGTATCCCGGCTCCGAAAAGGCACTTCATCGAGTCGCCGTGGGGGGTGGATTAAACCTATGATTGACCAGCACCCGGAAACCTGCTGCCATTAAGTGACTTGATAAACATCATGACTGTACTGTACTCGTACTGTGCGAGGTATGAGTACGGGAGATCCGCAGCCCACCTACTTGTACTAGGCCATTTTTAAGTATTCGGAACGGAAAGCGTAAGTGATCCTGTTACGGCGATGTAACTGATGCCTCCACTCGCACCTGATTTTGCGGAATAGCCATAAGCTACTACTTCAGTCGGGTAACCCACCTTCCGATTACCTAAAAAATAGCCTAATACTGTGCAGTATTGTGCTGTAGTCTAGAGTAGTCTACGGCATTCGAGTTCTTACTCTGGGTAGAGTTAGGGGAACCGTTCTCAAGAATACCCGTACTGCGTATTTTCTCAGATCTCCTCCCAACCAAAGGCAGGATCACAGGGGCTGCTTGGCATGTCGTGGTTTGTCCCTTCGTCTGTGTCCAGGACTCACCCTCGAGCTGAATAGGGCGATAGTATCCCCGCTTAGGAAAAGGGTCGATCGCTTCCTCGGGGTCATAAATTCTATTGGCCAGGGCACTATTGAGTGACCGAAGCCATACTCCCATGAGCCTAATTTCTAAAGATCGGAGGACAGAATACGCACTACTCGAGTAAAATGTTCTGAAACTGGGGAACAAACGAAGGGATAAAGGCCCTTGCTATTATATTGATACAAGTAACTTACCCTACCGGTACCCTACCCGAGTGTAAACCATGGTTTATAAGAATGGTACGCTAAGCGGTGCCAACTTTGAACTCACCCTACTGAGCCATAATTAGCGGTTCTGGGGAAAGACTTTGTTATCAAACAACCAGTAGGTAAGCTTATATACTCGAGCACACAGCACACAGCGATAGACGCATCCGCAAGATAACTTACACCCAAGCAGGGCGGATGCTGGGAATATATTCCCCGGCCTTCGAGATTAATCTCCCCTCGTCTCCTTTCCAATATTATCACAGAAGGGTGTACCTACCAGTACGTACCGTACTACATGCAGAGTGCCCGCGAACACCGGACATAAACGATTTGGTTGCCGACTGCCAGCCACGCGCCAGGTTGTGGTATGCCTGCAGCTCCTGTAGGATATGCTCAAGAGCTTCAAGAAAAAGGATCCCTAAGCCCCCCAAAGCGGCATCCAGGGTGCCACTTTCGGACCCCCATTGTAAAATATCACTCATTACGCGTCCTGCGATTTGATCGTAAAATTTTTTCCCGAGTTACGCGTCCCCCCTTTCCTTCTATCATACAAGGACAAAAGCTATTTCACACCCCACCAGTGTCATCACTATTTCATCCGCTACACTCTCAACTGTGGCTTGCAGCGAAGCTGCCGGCCCAGCCAAACTATTCGGTACCCCCCCCAAGCCTTTCCAATTCCTGTCTCAACTGCGCTTCTTGGAGCTCCCTCTGTAGATCCACAATCGGTTCTCCTACAAGCATCCTGGGCACAAGATTTCGTGAGCTTGGGCTTACTGTAGATGAGTGCATTACCACTGTCTCTCGGGGAGAAATTCTACGGTGTAGTGGGAACTGCGTGCACCCCGAGAAACTGCCCGGACGTGGACTTGCTACTGAATTGGCGTCCGAGGGCTGATAGGGTACAAAAGTGCTTATCGAGCACCCGTCATGTTGAATAGGAAATGAAGGGCTGGATGAAACGTTTGATCGTACATCCCCCGACTCCTGTGACTTATGCTCTGGCCCTTCTTGCTCTTCTGGCTGCTCCGGCTGTTCTGCCGGCGACGGAAACTGGTCAGGGGTATTAGGTATGATTTCTGTAGGAATGGGAGAAGGGATAGCAGGAGAAGGGGCTTCAAGAGGCGTCACGACATCTGGATTCACGCACGGTGTTGCACTGACAGCAGGCGGTGCACTTGGATTTTTGGATGGAGGAGGGCATAGCGATGATGAAGTGCATGTGGCTGCTGTTGATGAATAGGGATAGCCAGCTGAGGAGGCGGGTCTCTCGAGGGTTTGGGTGGTTATCGTTATGACGATTGGGGTCGATGTGGGCGTGCGCCCATACCCACCTGGACTCTGGTTAGGCGGGCTGGGGCTTTGTGGACGCTTAAAAGTCCACGGTCGAGGGCTTAAGGTCCCCGAAGCCTCACAAGTCGCCGCTGCTCCCTCAATATCTTCCTGGGGGGAGGTATGATGCGTGCTAAAACCGGATGGTTCTTCTGACGCAGCATGAACTGTATCGGACCCATCGGAGCCGTTTGTTGCGCCCGAACAAAAATTGACCAGGGATCCTGGATGTTCCATCTCGATACTCGGGCACTTCTGCTCACGGCTAAAGGCTTCTGTTGACCATACACTGGAGCATGTGCTCTTGTGCAACTCGTCCTCGGTTATTGTCTCAAGTCTGCTCTCTGGTTCTTCAAGAGAATACCAGCCAAAGTCAGAGCTCATGGCGGGTTCTGCCGAAATCTGCGAGGTGGAATCATCGAATGCACCCGCGGATCCGGGGATGTGCTCTGGTGGAAAGAGGTGGTATGGGGCGCCTAGAGTTGATGTGGAGGATGGGTGGCAGCATGTGTGCTCGGCCAAGTATGAGGTCTGGGAGGTGCACTGGGTGACTTCTGAATATGCGTGCAATGAAGGGGGAATATCTGAAGGATTCGGCCAAGGGACGCCAGGAGGCCGAGCCAGCCGTGAAGAAGTGCCATGTATTGTGCCGGGTAGAGAGATCCGATTTAAGGATTTCAACGAACCTCCATCTCTTGGAAGGGTATTCGTTCTATTAGGTCCTGAGTGGCTTCGTACTCGAGTGTGGACCTCCCGGGCCCTTCTTGCTCCACCCTCCCTGATAACCTCCTGGACTTGCCCCAGCCCTATTGAGCCACCCGGGATGTAGACCCGGGGTGGATGCCTTATTTTTGAGAGGCCGTTCCTTCTCCTATGGGGCTCGTAAGGAATTGGTATTTCCCGGGACGACTCTGCTGCTGTCTGTCCCAATTCCAGAGACTTCTCTCGATACCTCATTGAGCGTACCCTTGACCGCGCTTCTCGGTTTCCATCTATTAGCCCACGGCCTCGAACACCTCCGGGAGAACGATTTGATGGGTGAGTGGGTAGAGGTATCCTGGCTAACGGGAAAATACTTGATTTTCTGATAATCCCTTGGCTTCTCCTGGGCCTATTGTTTCGATTACCGGCTCGCAACTGATGCCGTTTTTCTCTTGTACCATACCCACTCCTCCCCCTTGTTTGTGGAGGAAGAGCGGCCCGCGGTATCGGACGTTGGGCATACTTGCCAATCCCCTCGTCAAGTTTCGTTATGTAGTTATTGTTTCCGTCTCCCCGGCCAAAGTGACGCCCGTCACCATTACCCCCACCCCCCCCTCCTCCTGGTTTGCGTCCTCCAAGACCGCCCATTCCTCTAGCTCTATCGCTCCAACTCCGCCGGTCTCTCCGACCAGAGGGACCTACTCCACAGCAGCCGGCACAAAGGAGCTCCAAACATCCTACACCATTTGGTATATGATGACCTCCACCGCTATTACCCACAAACTTGACGCGGGGGTGTTGCGGCCGCCCTGATACTCCTCTGATACCAGTACTATAGCTTCCTCCCCGAAGTTTATTTTGTTTCTTTGACTTTCTCCACGAGACGCAACAACAAAAGGCTCCAATTGCTAGTATCAGACCCAGCAGACCGAACGTGACGCCTACCGCAATCCCCACGGCATTTTTTGCATCCTGTTCGTAAACCTGCTCCTTATTGACTGTCCTAGAAGATACGGCAGTTGACAGTTTCTGCCCCTTGAAGTCCGGTAATGGCGTTGTGAATGGTAGAGGGGTATAACTGGAAGGTATATCATCGACGAGTGTGGCAAGGTCTTTCCCTCCAGATACCCCAAATATGGGAGTTAGAGCCGGCGCCATTGCCTAGAACCGTACCAAATCTGGCGGGAAGCTGCAGGTGCAGGTTTTTCCAATGCGCTGTAAGCTTCTATCCCCGCAATTTTTGCGTTGGAAGTCCAAGATGTACGGTATTCGGCGTTACACTATCGTATTGTCCGCCGGTAGTCTCGGTATCATATATCCCAGAGACCCTAGGCAGGCAGAGACCTCCTCCAACTCAGGATGTATGAAACCTTAGGTTGTAACTTGAAAAAAAAAAAAGGCTCGGTTGCAAGAATCGATGCAGTGCAATACAATGCGGGCCGGATATGATACTTGGTTGGTTGTGCCCTCGCCCTCCCTTCCTCAAAGTGACCCACTTACTTAGCGTAGGCTGGAGCAGGTGGTTTATATAATTACGAGAAGAATACCCGTTATGGCGCCTTTCATAACTGTCCACTGGGAACTTGTTGCAAGCGCCATGGTTAAGTTAGATCGCATATCTAAATACTTCATGCAACAAGGCGCCGGGCATGGCTTATACTTGCTGTTTACCGCACAGCGACGGCGGCCAGCATGCCATGTTCGACAAAAATGACGATGACATGGGCGATTATGGATGGCACCTGATGCAAGTAATGCTCTGCGGTTTTTAGAGAGGTGGTGGTGGGTGATTCGCTCAGATGTGGCGTGGTGCACCTTTGCGAGTGATTTTATGTTGATACGGCAGTGACAAACAGACTACAGAAGTCACCAGGATGTTACTACAGTCCAAGTGGTATGCTTAGGGCATTGTGACGATGTGACGATAGAAGAATGGATTGAGAATATTCAGCTATGCGTGGGGGCCGAAATAGCCTTCCTAAGGGTCACACCCGTGGTTATCTGCAGTACGATAACCATCCTTGGGTGTCCTTGAGTGTCTATTTGTGGTATACAAATACTCTGATATACAAACTAACGCCTCATCCGTCTCTGCAATCCCCTCCCCCCTTTCGCAATCCCCCTGCTCACTCCCTCATCCTCATCCTCAGTCGTTTCCTCTGCGGCCAACGGTTTATAACTCACAGCTCTAACACTCGGACTTTCCCTCGAACTCTGTCCACGCTGACTGTAGACTCTACGCTGCCCTGCCGTAGTAGTAGTAGTAGTAGTACCAGAAGCCTCACCCTCCGCCATGGGTAATGGCCAATCCAACCTCTGCGGCCTTTGCAGTAACAGGGCATCCTCAGCTGGGCGTTGATCAGTGCCAGGGATATCGTCGATACCTCCGCGCGACGAATGTAAAAAAACCGGGTCGGAAATCTGGTGAATATCGACCCTGTGGGCACGGCCGATTCCATCCCTCCTCAACCCTTTCCCTTCCCGGTACTTTTTATTCCCTCCAAGAATACCGGCCGCGAAGCGGCCAATCCCGCGACTTGTTCCCGCGACATCCTCTGCGTCGCCTTCGCCGTTCTCACCGTTTCCTTCCCACAGGCCTTCGCTCCCCGGATCCCGCTTTTCCTTTCGACATCTCTTCGCCATGCAGAATAGTACCAGTGCTGCCGCCATGACCCCGGCCAGTAACCCGACCACCAAACCCGCTCTATGGCCCGGGGACCAGTCTTCCCAGGTAGTCCTATTGTTGCGGAAGGGTGCACCAGTGCTCGTGGGGGGACCCGAATTTGTGGGTGCCGGGAATGGGAGGAGGACGCTGACAGTGACGGTGATGATTGATGGGGTTGTAGAGGTTTCGAAAAAGGTGGTTGTGGCGGTGGCTGTAGTTGTTGTAGTGGGCGACAGGGGGGTGAGTGTGGTGAGGGTGCCAGGGGTTCCGACAGAGGTGAAGTACGTCACGGTCGTGGTTGTGAAGATTGGTGTGCGGCCTGGAGGAGTGTATTGACCGTCTGGCCCGCCCCAGGAGTGTTGAGTTGTCATGGGGGAGGATGCTAGGAAGTGCAATAAATAGGTTGCGGTGAAGAGGCGCGCTTGTTTTTAGCTGATATGTGATATGTAGAGCTGATTGCTTTGTTAGTGAGAGAGAAAGGAGAGGGGCGGGGAGGCGAAGGGAGGGGAGGGAGGATCAGGTGGGATGTTACCAGTTTCTGGTTAGGTTTGTTGTGGGTAGCTGCAGCATGGATGGCGGGTGTAGGTTTGTTCCCTAGAGTTGACGATGCTTAGGCTTTGTTCCCGTCACCTGCTATTCCATACCAGATTTCTACTGACAGAATAGTTATATCATCTTTCAACAGCCCCAGCTTACCCTTGCCATACGATTTTCAATTTAATACCGCACACATGCACTTGCAACAAACTGATAGAGAACGATAGGAAGAAAAAAAGTGGTAAGATTGTTATGGAACCACCACCGGAAAGGTTTTAAGATTAAGATAAAAGCCCCATGGGTTTATCATAATATAATATGCCCGACCCTCCCTCGCTCCATCTCCATCTCCATTGATCCCACCAAACAATCCCAGCACGAGCCCTAAACAATCCTAACCCCACCCCTTCCATCCGGGCCCACCATTCCCCTAGTAGTATCCGGTGGCGGGTGCACCACCACCATCGGCGCTGCCGCCGCCGCCGCCGGTGGAAGAATTAGAACCTCGGGAGCAACGGCCTGCTCGTTCCCGCCGCCGCCGGCCTCCTCGTCGTAGTAGTCGTCCTGCTCGATGCCGAGGAATTGGGCGCAGGATTCGATGTACTTAAGCCCCGCCCAGAGCAGGAATAGCGAGAAGGCAGTCAACACGACTAGGACTATGAGGATTGTATGGGCTTTGGAGGTCATTTTCGTTTTTTTTCCTTTTCCCGTCGAGTGTGTGTTTGTGTTTGTAGTTGTGTGATATGAGTTTTGGTTGGAGGGAGGAGCGAGTGAGGAGTTATGACGGTTTGTTTGGGTTTGTCTTTCTTTCTCCCTTCCTTTTTTCTGTTAGAGGTCCCCCGACGTGGTGGATGAGAGGGTTTGTGATGTATTGAAGGATCATGATTGCCATTGCGGTGAGTGACGCTTATGTTCCTTTGGCCGTTGAGGGAGGAGGGAGGTGTACGGGGGTTTCTGGACGTTTGGTGGCATTGCGTAATTGGAGTGTAGGGTGTGGGATGTAGGGTTGCGTGTTCTATAGCCGTTGCTGGCCACCGGTGTCATAGGTGAGTCGGGTGTTATGGTGGAGTGGGGAGTGAATCTTCAGGTCCCGCGATCTGTTAACCTATGTAGAAAACTGCCAGCCGAGCTTCCCCACATGTTTTTAGAACTTGCAGCTAATGTCTATAGGAACACCCAGTTTTGCGAATAGCACTAACTGAGCTTCTTATGCTTGGAAAAGCCATCTGAGGAAATCTGGTGGCATCGTACCCTCGTCAATAACCCGTTGAGGCCGTCATTCCTATTTAGTGGTAGATAGCTAATCGAGTGACATTCGGTGCTTTGATCGATAAGATAAGATAAGGATATACCACCATCTTTCCAATCTCGTGCCAAACAAACAAGGCATGCGCCAATAGCCCACCAGCAACCCCCCCCCACCCTTTTCCTTCCCCTCTCTATCAAACAAGCTCCCATCAAAATGGCTGAACCACCCCGTCTCACCCACGAAGAAGTATCTCCCCCCTTCCCCTCCCCCGCACATGCAACTAACAAAGCCCCAGTTCTTCAAATCCCTAACAACGCTCCTAACAACCGCAACTGCAAAGGAAAAGTCCACCGTATACCTCACCCAGAAACCCCTCCTCTACCCTTCGGCCTCGACCGCGCCAACCGCAGAAAACCCCCCGCTGTTAATCCGCGCGACGAACGGCGATAGTAAGGATCAACGGAAGAAGGGTGATAAGCGAGATGGGAGGACGAAGATCTCGACGGTCGTGATGCCGGATGAGCTTCAGGGTTTCTTTGAAAAGTATGCAGAGGTGGCGAAGGGTGGGATGGGAAGTCTGAAAAAGAGGGATAGGAAGGCGAGGAAAAAGGCTAAAAAGAAGGGGAAGGAGGGGGGGGAGGTGGGAAGGAGGGGTTTGATCGATTTGATGGGAACCTTGTCCGGGGGTGGAATTATCACGTTACATATTTTGTTCTTTCATTTTTTTTTTTTGAAAAAAAGAGCTAAATAAATGGCGTTTGGTGACCGTTTGCGTGGTCAATGGTACTGCTGGGGTCTGATTTGGATTATAGGCGGGGGGTTGGATATCGCGCGGCGTCTTGAGCGATGCAGTTTTCGCCTTGAATTACTGTTGCGTGGAGTAGTTGGGTGCTGAGGCACTGCTTGTTGCTTAGCTGAGATGACATGTTTGTTTGGGGGTTGAGTGGTGGTTGAGTGGTGGTTGAGGCTCTTCGTGATACATATATCGGGGCAAGACTGCCACCCTTGACAGATGGTGTGGTGGTAATACCGGTACCTTATTGAAACAGGTCGTTGGGATAGGGCACTGCATTCTGGTACGGTACCGGTGCCCAGGTTGTTGAGATCTCAAGAGTTTCCTATCGTACGGGCCAGTTTCTAGACTAAGTACAGGTACATATGCTCGAGCACGGCTGCGAGTATTGCAAGTATTACGGCGTCTACAGTACCGTAATTTATGATGGGGGCAGCGTGATGTCCAACCATCATCCTCAATACCGTAAGCAATTGCAGTTACCCCCCCCCAAAGCTGTCCTGCCCGGCGTCGGAGTGATAGTTTGATTGCGGCAAGTAGCTCTGCTTCCTGTCGATACTCAAACCCACCTCGGGGAAAAAGGCGGAGGACATGGGGGTCATCACGTATAGGTAGACGAATACAAGTATCATACAAGAAAGAATACGGTATTTCGAACGGATCTGTCCATCATGGTATCGGTACAATCGCAACCCATCCCTAACCTGCATCTGGCAAATGACAACAGATCCAGGGAGGTTAAGGCGGCCTCGCCTCTACCGGTTTGGCAGCCTGAACCGCCAATTGTAGGCATTCCTCGTGAAATGCAACGGCCGAATTTTCGGAGAGTCCGGGTGCGGGCACCCTCTTTCCAGCTGTTTATGTGGGGACATGGGCACTGTAGGTAAGGACGGACATCTGCACTTTACCGTAGTTCTTTTTGTCCGTCTGCTATCCCTCTGCTATTGTAGCTCCCGATGAGGATTGGTGGCTCGTTTTGTGTCATAACGACCAGTTAAGGACGGCATTTATGCTGTTTCCTTCCTGTGTTACCCTAGTAGGCGGGGGCCCGCAGGCTCCTTGTTTGGGTCGCTTCATTGGTTGTGGCACCCGACTTTCGGCTGTGGATTCTTTTTTCTTTTCTTTTCTTTTCTTTTCGCTCTCTTTTTTTTCCTCTTTCCCCCCATAAGTTATCGCGATTGACTGGCATGCCATTTTCTCACCTCCTCTTTCTTTTTCAGTGGCTCAGGTTAACTTGGAATTGCTTCCTTCTACTCTTTCCGCTTTTCCGCCGTGCTTAAGGGTGAATACCCGTACTGTAGTAATCCCGTGGGAGAATTAAGCTTGAATTCAGGATGCCGTGCTGTGCTGTACGCTACTCGAGTACTTGTACTGTACATCAACGCCGGGGCCAGGACCGCCTACGGTATGATATTAGTGAGCTGCGGATACACGTATGATACTTGTACAATGTACGAGTACATATGATACCGGTATGATACTGTACGAACATTTGCTCATATCACAACATGACGGGCACAAGTAGGGTCCATGGAAGGGCTTGCCTACGCTCTAGCTTGCATGGCGCTATGATAGAAAATCGGCACAAAAAAAAAACCCCCCATTAATACTATTTCCCCTTTCGTACAGCACTTGTCTTACCAACCTCCGCCTACTTCCTTGCCTTCGTTCGTGCGTTCCTCCTCTCTCTCTTTCTCTCTCTCTTTCTTGCCTTAACCCCCTGTTGCTTGTCTCCTTACCTACCGGTTCTTCTTTCTTCTCTCCACTCCGCACCGCTTCTTCCATCATCCCTAACGTTCCCCCTTTGTTGGTGTGGGAAACATCTAAGAAGCTGTCGTCCTATCGCAACCTTTCCTCGCTGCATCGTTCGTTCCGCTGTTTCTCGAGCCCGTCTAGAAGCCTGGTAATTCGGGCTTACGGTATTTGGTCAAGACGTCGTCCCACCCACAGCACCAGGGTAGGCAGCTGATTTCTTCAGCCTCCTCCTCTCCAAAATCAATCACCACGAGGAAACGAAAGCTCCAATCCGACGTGGAGACTGAGGCGGATCAACCGTCCCCTAGTCCCCCGGCGTCGTCGCCATCTCCCCCCTCGTCACCCCTCATTTGTTCACCCTCACCCTCTCCTTTACCGTTCCCCGGCATTAACAATTTGAAGTTTCCTACCGCATCCTTATCCGATCCTTCTAGATCTATACCCACCACCACCGAGGGATCCAGCTCATTTACCTCTGACGTAGCTTTGTCACCACAAGATCCCGATCTTTATCCGCACGGGGGCCTGTCCCCTAACTCTGCCGGCACACAGCAGCAACCGCAACCGCGATCGCCACTACCACCCGCCATGAACAACTTGCAGGAACAGCAGGACAACGGCTCCTCCCCTGCTGCCGATTCTGTAAACCTTGTCACGTCGGCGTCCGACTCCTCCGCCCTACTTCGTCCCTCCACGCAGGCTCCATCAACCTCAGCTGTTTCTCGTTCTCAATCTCCGGCCAAACGACTAAAGTCCGAAGAGCTATCTTCAGCCGAGCTTGTCAGCGTTCTGGAGCCGATGGATGAGGACACGGTAATGCCTTCTGCGGAGGAGAAGAGCGGGAGGGAGTCTTCGGTGGAAATGGCCGACGGTAGTGTGGCGTCCTCTGAGGGTAATGGGGAGGTCGCCCGTATCGATGCTATTTCAGCGACGGCGTCGATAGCCCCCTCTACTGCGACCACTGTTGGGTCTACTCAGCCATCTTCCACCTCCGCCACTTCGGTATCTTCGGTTTCCATACCATCGCTGGAGGATCAGGCTCACTTTATTCTAAAATCTAAATTTGAGACCAAGCTGAACGAAGGTGATTTGGGGTATATCATCTCCGGCCGCTGGCTGAATCGACTCTTGGCAAGGTCCTCGGACTGGGGAGTTCAACTCACGAAAGAGGATGCCGAAAGTGAGATAGGGCCCATAGACAACTCTGATTTGGTGGACGAAACTCAGATGCAAGGTCAAGCCAAGAATACTTCGGACGATAGTACGTTCTCAAGTCTGCCGTTCCTTTTTCCTGGATGTGGAGGCGGACAGCCCATTTCCTCCACGCCGCTATCTAAGACGCCGGTTCTCAGTACTGACAGGACATTTCATGAAGGGGAAAATGACGAGGATTCGGCTGTTCCGGAGGACTTTGTCGCTATCAAGCCGGGCACTTTAGGCGATGACTTCGAGATTCTACCGGAGGAAGCCTGGAATTCGCTTGTTTCTTGGCACGGTCTAGCTGAAGGCTCCCCCGTTATTACGCGGCGAGCAGTCGATACTTCTGAGACGATTATTCCACACATCCAATATGAGATCTACCCGCCTGCATTTACGCTTTATAAACTCCGAGATCCTAGCACCAATGTAACTAGGGACTTGCTGGATAAGGAGAAGTTGCAGTCGCCAATGAGAATCACCGCAGGCAAAACTGACAGCTTCCAAAAACTCTTGAGAAAGGTAAAGAAGTTGGCGGGTGTGGATGCCGCGAGGAAAATTCGTCTTTGGAGGATAATAGAGAACTCATCTGAGCACGATTTGGAGTCTACTAGTAAACCGTCAAGAAAGGGTGGAAAAGAAAAGGACATTGGGCCCTTCAAGCAGTTGGTGATTGATTTGCAACCCTTCCTGGACCTGAATATCGGTGCCGAACGGGAGTTGGTGGAACTCAGGGATCAATCTAACGATCCAAAGTACAATGGCAGTATGAAGATTAGCATGGCGGGCTTGGGTGCTGGTGGCCCAATTGTCATCGAAGAGCAGGGCTCAGATGGTGAATGGATCAGCGAGAAACCGACCAAGTCTGTAAGGAAGGGTGGCCAGCAGGTTACCGTGGCTCTCAATGGAAAGAATGTTGTGGGGGGGCCGGGGAAGAAGAAGGCTTCAGCAAGGCCGGATAGCCCTTCTGGGAGTCTGAGCGCTGCTGTTATCAGGTCCGGATTTCCTAACAGGCTAGCAGAGCGTCGGGAGGGTAGACCCTTAGGGAAATGTGGGCTAAGCAACTTGGGTAATACCTGTTATATGAACAGCGCCCTGCAGTGCTTGCGCAGCGTTGCCGAATTGTCGGGTTACTTTCTTGGTATGACCTCTTCTGTTCCTCGGTTGCTACCTTCATAATGCGTATTCTAATGAAGCGATTGCACAGGCAATAAGTACACGGAGGAGCTGAATCCTAATAATCCACTTTCTCATAGCGGGAAGGTAGCAAAGGCGTATGCAACTCTCCTCGGATATATCTTCTCGCCGACATGCCCCGGATCGGTATCGCCTAGGGAGTTCAAAAGCACTATCAGTCGCTTCAGTTTGTCGTTCTCAGGGTATGGGCAACAGGATACTCAGGAGTTTCTGGCGTTTCTTCTCGATGGTTTGCATGAGGACCTTAACAGGATTCAGAAGAAGCCATACATTGAAAAGCCAGAGTCGACCGATGAGATGGTTGGAGATAACGAGGCGATTGCAGGGCTCGCCCAAGAGCATTGGGCCATATATAAGCAGAGAAACGATTCGGTCATTGCGGATTTGTTTGGTGGGCTTTATCAGAGCACTCTTGTGTGCCCTGATTGCGAGAAAGTTAGCATTACCTTCGATCCTTTTATGGACCTGACGCTACCACTGCCGGTCGAGAATGTTTGGGGCCGAGACATATACTTTTTCCCTAGCAGCGCCTCTGGTAGGGGATTGATCAAGATTCCAGTAGAGATGGACAAAAACAGCAGCATCAAATCATTGAAAGAGCATCTTGCAAAAAAGTTTAATCTTGATCCTAAGAAGGTGTGTTTATTTTCAATGACCGAGCTTGTGTAGCACTGATTTCTTAACTGATTTTTTTTTCCCCTTCCTTTGCGCTAGACTATGGCTTCGGAAGTTTACAAGGGGAAATTCTTCAAACACTATGAAGATTTCCAGACTGTTTCGGAAACGATTCGACAGGATGATGATGCCTTCTTCTACGAGTTGGATGATGCCCCGACTAACTATCCCCCATCAAAAGGCAAGAAGCCAAGGAGGACTGGCTTCTATGGACCGAGTTATGGTCGATTTGATGATGACGATGATGTGCCTGACCCGGACGCCCCCGAGTGCGACCAGCTGCTTGTCCCTATATTTCATAAGGTGCAGAAACAGAATCGCTACGGATTAGGCTCGACGACCGAAGTATTTGGATTGCCTTTCTTCATTGTAGTAAATAGGGATGAGGTGAGAAGCCTTGATGCGATCATGAGGAAGATTGTCAAGAAGTATCAGGTGTTGACCACCCGCGATTTCTACGAGAGCGAGGCGTCCCCAAGCGAATCCGAAACAGAGGCAGTGGAGGTCAAGGATGAACTCGAGGATATAAACGAGACGGGGGAAGAGACAGATGATGGATTCGTGGATGTTTCGATGAAGGATGCTTCATCTATGGTCGGGTCAGATAGAAAGACTGCGAAGAGTCCAAGACGGCCGCTCCCGCCGGGAATACACGATCTTTTCACCGTTAAAGTCACAAAACGAAGATCAGGTGACTCCGCTGTCGTAACAGGGTGGCAATCGCTAGAGACCGCTTTTGATATCAGGGAACGGTTAAATCGTGAGCAATCGGCTAGTCCTCCACGGCGCAAGACCAACGACTACTTCACCAGCGCCGGTCTGTCTGGAAGGGCCAGCCCTGCTAGCGATGTGAGTGATAACGATTTTCAAGATGCTCCGGAGCCCGAGCAAGATATGATGCAAGATGTGAGCGACGATGAACATGCTGGGGCATCTTCGTTCGGTGCATCTGCGGAATACACGCGGGCTAATTTCGACACTACCCCCCCCGACCACTTCTATGGGAATAGTAGTGGCAACCCTTCTTGTCGCGAATTCAAGACCCCGACCCGATCATTGAGCCCGTCTCTCGCCGACGATCCGCCGCTCATCATGTGGGGAGAAGGCCTCATTTGTGAGTGGAGCACTGAGGGCTACGACAGCATGTTTGGTGGCGAATCTAGTGATGACCTCCGCGGTATCCCATTATTCTACAATGTACCCCTTATTCAAGACCAGGAACTGGAATTACGGCGCCGCCGCCGGGATGAGCGAAAGAGGAAGGGAATTCACCTTGAGGATTGCCTCGATGAGTTCGCTAAGGAAGAGATTCTCTCTGAGGAAGACCCCTGGTATTGCCCGCGCTGTAAAGTTCATAGACGCGCTAGCAAAAAGTTTGAGCTGTGGAAGTGCCCAGATATTCTTGTCATCCATCTTAAGAGATTTTCCAGTTCGAGGAATTTTAGGGACAAGATTGATGTCTTGATTGACTGTCCCGTCACCGGGCTAAACCTCCAAGAACGAGTTGGGCTCAAGGAGGAAGGAAAGAGTTTGGTCTACGATCTGATTGCGGTAGATAATCATTATGGCGGGTTAGGGGGTGGTCATTACACAGCTTTTGCAAAGAGCTGGATCGATGGCAAATGGTATCATTATGACGGTTTGCCTGCCCCAATTCTGCGCTTTAAAGTTGCTGGGATTTCTAATAAATTTATAGATTCTAGTGTTCGGGAAGTTAGTGAACAGAAGATTATTACCCCAGCTGCGTACCTCCTTTTCTACCGCCGCCGATCCGAAACCACACTCGGTGGGCCGCGCCTTAACAGGATGTTGAGCGAATCAACAAATTCATCAGGCTCAGCTTCCTCTTCACGGAGTACGTCACCTACCAGGGCGGGGGAAGGTGGACCGTCCGACGATTCCTCAGTAACAGTTTTACTGAATGGCCGATCGTCGGGCGGTGGTACGAGCGGATTGTCGACTATCTATAGCGGTGCGGGTAACGCTAAGCTTTGGGGTGATGAGCCACCACCATATTCCGAGAGTACCGGAATGGAACTGGTTTTGGTGCCAAAAACACAGGGTTCACCTGCTTCTAGCAAAGCACCAAACGTAGGATTCGGCTTTGGCTCGAGTTTGGCCGACAAAGATGAACTGCTGGGGGATACTGATGACAGCGTGTTTATTGGCCCCTTACTTGATCAGGCAGAACAAACCGATATACCCACGGACATCAGGGTCGATGACGGTGAGGATGGGCTGTTGCCGACGCTGAGTGATGAAAAAAATGATACAATTGAGTCTCACAACGCCGCCGATAATATGGAGTCATAAGTGGAAGCTCGGAAAAAAGAAAGGTGGAAGTGGGGCTGGAATGGGAACTCTGTGCATTTGGCTTTGTTGGGATGTTCTTGAGCTCTGGCGGGTTGTGGATTTCGGCATGTAGAGAAGTTCTGAGGGGAAATTCTTTCTGCTACTTTACCACCTTTGTTTTGTCTTGCTTTCCTATTCATTTAGTCGTTATACCTTCCTGTGCCTGTGATCGCCTGGGTTTAAGAGGCGTGGGGGGCTGTTCATTGAGTTTATATTCGCGCATCTGGTTTAATGGCGGAATGAGATGTGTGACGATGACGCGGTTCATGACAAAAGCATTGGTTTTTATTCCTTCTCCGTCTCCCTACCTACCTCTCCTATTATTTGTTCAGTTGGTCGCTCCGTGAGTTTATACGTTATCCATCCATACATTACACTACAATTAAGCTGGAGTGTGTATTCGTTTCTTTCTTTTGCTCTTTATTTCTTCGTTTTCATCCTTCATTGGGACGGACACAACAGCCAACTCTTGTTATACTGTGACTTATGATAATTTGTTACAGCATAAATTTTTTTTTTCTAGAGTTGGAGGTAAACTGTAGGTACTTGTGGGTCGGGTTGAGTCCGATGATTTTTGATGGATATCATATATCATTGCTGGACTTATCTTGGGTTAACTCGATGGCGTGTTATGGCTTGTTTATCCATGTGTCGGGGTGGTGGTATGGTTTGAGCCAGCCAAAACGTGCAAATTCTATTATGTCCACAACTACTCTTGTAATTCGGAAGGAAGGATGGGTATGATATCCTACAGAATTTTTGAAGATGAAAAATGATGCCTTGTTTTTTTTTTTTTTTGCAATTAGAGTCCCTGATAAGGTTGCAGCGAGGTTTAGTGCATCTCGCTGTCCTTAGGTTCAGAAGAAAAAAGAATGCTACAACCGCAAAACACTAGTAGTACAAGTAATGTCGTGACGTTTGTGAACACAACCGGGCTTGCATTAGCGTGCATAGGCATGGATTGGAGGAATCTGTATTAGTCAAAATAACAAAGGTTATATAAATAGGCACGTACAGCATATTTTGGTTAAACTGGAAATGGGTCTACAGCCTCAGGTAGAAAGGATTGGAAAACAGGGGGGTTCAACAGGGTGTGAGACATCGTGATCTGTAATTAAACTGTAAAGATACAGGATAATCACCACTATGTGTGACTACCATTTGTACTGATTACAGCCTGAATTCTGCTAGGAACATTGTCAACCAATCTCCAAATCTCCTCTACAGTAATCTTGTTCTACTTATCAAGTAAGGCTTCTTTGACTTGGACTTATCTAGTAGACCTTGGTTGATGATCATTAACTCAACTTTTTATAAGATTCCAAACATTTTCAATTGGGCTAAGATCAGGAGATACCAGAGGCCACTGGAGAGAAGGAATGTGGAAGTGGTCGTGGTAGGATTTGGTAAGGCAAGTATAATATGAGGATGTACCATCTTCTATAAGCTAAAGAGAGAAGCCAACCTGGTAGCTTTCATAATACCAAAATAGTTAAACACTAGTAGTATGCCAGTTAACAACCCTATGATGATGAGCTATGACAACCTAGGTCTACACCCATAGATGTGACTATGAGGTCAAGTGGTAGACTAGGTGGACATACTAGAGCATGTCTCGGGAGATGTCTGATGGTCCAAGTATCTCTATGAGCAAAAAGGTACTTACAGGATAGATGTACCTAAGTAGTACAGGCAGGTTTCAAACTTCTCTTGCTAGTCTGAGCTGGTAAAGGCTTTTTCCTATCATGATCCCTATGATAACTATGATAGTTATTTCAAATAACAAACCTGTATCATACAGCTACTATTATAATACTTGGAGTTCGTTGCGGGGCCCCCAGGGTTCTGAAAACTGCAGGCCCCTGCTCCCATTCCCTTCCCCTCCCAGGCGTTTGGCCTAGGGCGGCGAGTATTTTTGGCATCATTCTCCCCCCGCCAACCCGCCATGTGGGCCCCGCTACTGCTCCCAGCCAATTGTATAGCTGGGAGCGGGGCTTGGAAATGGGAGCGGGAAGGCACCCCGTACCCGCAACGGGGGGGCAAGTATGTGAATACCCGCCCCGCTCCGAAACGAAACGAACACTATATAATACTAGTATCGAACAGTTCCCAATGTGTGATCAGCACACTCCTGGTAGGCCTTATAATACTACCTTTATAAAAGTTAGGATTTATAGTCAGAATGCATGTGGGCATCCCGTCACCTTCTGTCCATACTTTTAGTAAGGTACCTTGCTTAGCCTGTAACTCTATAGCTACCTATCTAAATTACCCCATGCTACTTTCCACATGTCACAGGTAGCTGGAGGTCTTCTATATCATATATCCTGTGAACATGTTCCAGTCAAATATATTGCTGTAATGTATAGAGGGTTATGAGATGAGTTTCATTAATGTTGTATTATAGTGTAGGCACACAACTTTATCAAAGTCTGGTAACGATGTGGTGCCCACATTGAGGCTAGAGGTAGGTATTGGTCATGCATTTTCTCCCCTTTTAAGGGTCTGCATATCCATATAAGTAATAATCTGTACAGCAACACCCACGCAATCCATAGGAAGACTATTACTACTACATTAACAGCTCAGTCAAATAGCTAAACTCCTTGTCAGTCAAGGTACTATACGTAGTAAATTAGCTCCTTGGCCCTGCCAGGCCGCGACAAACTCCCGCAACCCCTCCCGGGCAGCCCTGATGGCACCCCACTCTAAGGCGTTAATTTAATCTATGGCCAAACCCGTTATCTTCTCCATCCCCAAAAGCCCTACTCAGGGCCCTCACTAGGATCGGGTGGACTGCCCCGTTGCGAACGCCGGGTTTCAGGATCCAGGGTCTGGCCCGTTGGCATCCGGATTTTTGCCAGACATCATCATAATCAATCACTCGTGTGTTCCGCTCCCACTAGCGACGGTTTTTCATTGGCGCTTCCCCTTCGCGGGCTAAGCCGTTGTTGACACCCCACCCGCATTCAGGTATTGATTTTCGTTTTTTATCCAGTGGCCAAGGCGCGACGGAAGCGCTTCCATCCTTACCAGTTTAAACACCACGTGCCAATAGCTCCACATTCAAAAGCTCAACCTCACTACCGTCACCTTTTGCGCCCCTCGTGACACAAACACCACCCTGTTAGCACTAGGAAGTATGGTAGGTGCATGAAACATCACTCGAAGACTGCTTTGTCTGGGTGGGAATGGAAACCACCAGCGGGTTTGTTACTAATTCCTAGGTTCGGGTCTCGTGTATTATATTAGGAAATCCAATCGCAGTAGGCGGTTTGCGAAGTCTGTTTGTGAGGGGACGGAGATTGATTGGGGGATGTAGAGGGGGGGGAAGAGGTGGAGGCAGGTGGGGAGGAGGGCAGGCTCAAGATTTAGACGAGAAATATATTCATCTGAACGGAGTACCCGATTTATGGTATGCTTCAGTTTGTCCAACTCCCTCGATGCTAAATACATGGCCTGGGCTTTCAAGTCTAATACTCTTGATCCTAGTATAAATTTTCCTCATATTTACCTCCTTTTATATCACTCTTGTTCATTCAGTCTACCTTGATAGGTCCTACCATGCTTGACCTTCCTCTTCTTCTTCAGATCCCCTATCCTCCTGCTTCGCACAAACTGAGCCTCCCCCTCTGCCTGTATCGAGACAGCGGCCCGAATTACAAAATCTCCACTGGCTGTGAGCCCGGCTCGCCTGAGGACATCGGAAAGGTTGCTCCCACCTGACCTAATCCCCCTGAGACCTAGACACATGGTGAAAAAGCCCCCACCAATCCCACTAGGGGGCATAGGTGTCACAGCTACCACGAAGGGGTATACATACAGGAGCTTATCCTTTGACCGGTTTGGGTAAGCGATGAAGAAGCGCGCGGGAGCCGAAACACGTATGAACAAGGCATTTTGGGAGGAAGTGGGGGCGTGCAAGATATCACCGAAGAAACTGTTAGAACTAGAGGAGGTAGAAACACCTGAATCGTGCTTTAGTGGAGAGGATAAACAACTAACATCTCACCATAACCGAGTGATTTCTCATGACGCATTGAAAGATTGAGCGGGTCCATGAACCGAAAGCTGCTCAAGACTGTTAAGTATATGATACAAACGAGCCGGTCAGAGCCTGTGCCCCGGTCGGTACTAAACATTACTGCCGCCAATATGTACGATCGTGCCCCCCCTGTTTCTAGAGATTAGCCGGTCCGACCCCACGGCATTCCTATTGCGGCAGCCTGCTTCGATGGATATTTCTTTGGGTCCAGGATGGAGAATCGCTCGGTCCAATTCTCCATACAGCAGTTAGAATGTAGCGCCAGACTATTTTCCTAAGTATTAGGAAGGGGGAACGGGAAAGGGAGGTAACGAAACTACTGCAGAGCTATGCCTCCCAGGAATAATATCACCTAAATTTGCGGAAATAACCATAACTCATGACCACTGTCTGGTAATTCGCCACCCGATTGCGCCAAAATGGACGAGTGCACCGCTGGTGACAATTGGCTTTCCAAACAAGGGAGGAGGCTGGCCTCTGAAAGGGTGTGGAAAATATACAGTCAACTCGCCATGGGTGTAATCCTAAAAACGGATAGAAGATTGACTATTTGGTAGTTAGCAGCGCACCAGAGTAAGAAAATACTCTAGCTACCTATGGACATGACATGACCGAGGTGGGGTAGTCCGGGCTACCACCCACAGAGACTTGCCTGGACATCCATATTATAGAAACAATAGGCGAAGGTCGGTGAAGAAAAACTGCAGGAGGAACAGGGAGGACCAAGGTAAGATCCACCAATCCACTAATACTAACTAGGGCCTGCCTTCGGTGTAGGATAAAGACGTGGACGAAGAATCCGAGAGCGTAAAGAGATCTTTGTGTCAAAAGGTGCCCCCTGCGGTGAGACCGACCCACATTTTTGCAAGAGATTTCCCAAGCTTCTAGTTTGTGGACTTGTCAATTCAGCAAGTAT